ATCCTCTGCCTTTCATTTTGTAGATTTAAACAGTAGTATCCAAAGGTACAATCACACCATTAGAGTTTTGTGAATTTGAAATATTATTTAAAAAGAAAAAAAAAGGAAAAATGCCAGTAGTACTACCTTCCAAATTTTGCACTGATGGCAAAAAATATGCAACTGAACCTCCCCATTCTAAGGGCATGGCATTTGGGATAACAGGTTCATTTTTTTTCCCTATACCCTTTAACTTTGCTCAAATGAGGCAAGTTTCCTAGCCCTTATTAGGGTTGTGGGTACCCAAAATGTGGGCTGTTGTAGTCACTAAGGAGAGTGAATAACCCAACACAAACTCATATCACTTCTGAGCAATTTATTAATATCACAGATTTAGAGCTGGAAGAGGTGCAAACTCTTTTTACAGACAAGGTAACTGAGGCCCACAGAGGTTAAGAGACTTGCCCAGGGTCACACAGTCATGAATGGCAAAGTCAGAATTTGAACCCAGGTCCTCTGATTCTTAAATCTATTGATCTATCCACTGAACCAGACCTCCCCAGATGGCTCTGTGCCTCAGTTTCCTTATTTATCCAATGAAGAGGTTGAATTCCAAGGTCCAACTTTAATGATTTATAGCTCCATGATTCTACCTCCACCTCCTTCAATCCTTAATTATGACAACTGAAGTATTCCCAGTCCCTCCCACACTTCTCTGAAGGAAAGTATTATATCTGACACTTTGAGGGTCCTAAGGCAAATACAATTTCTTATGCCATCATTCCCAAATTTTCTGCTCTCTAATTTTGCCTACAGTGATTCTCTTTGACACTCTTCAGCAAGGAAGATGGCTCAAGATTAACATGGAATAGAGGTCACAGGAGAGTTCAGCTCCTATGCAATGATGGGAACATCATCGAGGTTATTAGAATCTGGAGCCCCTATTATCAAATAAAGGCTAGAAAAAGTTGGGTTTTTTATGACTTTTTACTTAAGATCTTACTTTTAACTGCTTTATTGAAAAAAAAATAAGTGAACACAAGGCAGGGGATGAATGAGCAGGAGTTTATTCAGGTTCTGGCTTTTATTTATTTTCTAAAATGTGCATTTAAAATCTTGACTTAATTCCCTTCTTCCCCCAATCATCTTCATCTATTTTATTTATTCAGATCTCAGTCACTGACACCTAACAACAACTATACTTTTGGTAGTATAATACTTAAAAAAATAAAGTGGAGAGGCATGAAAATATACTCTTTTTTCTTCCCCATTTAAGGATGTAAACCGGTAACATTGTAAATTATTTGGAGTTTAATAAATGGGCTCAGTGATAGACTGAGTCTGTTGCATTAGCAGACTTTAGAGAGAATCACCAGAGGAAGGTTGACTACAGACTCATGAAACTACTAAGGTCTCGAGGGGGTGGAAATCTTCATAGATGGAAGGCATCTACCCATGGGGATGAAGTCAGAGGAGCCTTGAAGAATGCGTTTTAATAATATTCAGGAAAATTTAAAACATAAGTGGAAAATTGGTTTCCTGGTTCACATGTACATCATTATGCATAAGTATTTTGCACCATTTGCTCCAGACTCTAAATCGAACTAATTACTATATTGCCTCAATATGAATGAACTTTTCACATATTTTTTAATCAGTGTGCTGATGCAAGAATATATGCCATGCATGTGTCTTGTGGTACATGTCAGTGACAAAATCTTAGGACCCTAAAACCATGCTGAATCATTAAATTAAATCTCCAGAACTAATACAACAGAAGATCAATTCCATCTCTGATGATTACTGTTTGTGTAACCTTGGACAACATCCTTGGGCCTCAGTTTCCTGATGTGTAAAATTAGGGGGTTAGACTAAGTGACCTTTTCTCTAGATCTATTATCCTCTAGCTGCCATTTTATCCAACAGTAAAAGTATAAACAATATACTGCTTTTGTAGAAAGCTATTCCCCGAGGAGTACTCGCCTATCTAGCTTCTCTCTTCATTCTTCCTTTGGCCAGAATGAAATTTCCATTTACCAGCAGTAAGTTGTGAACTAGGTTATCAAGTCTTCCCTTGGATTAAAGCTAAATCAGTGAAATGACAGAGTGGATTCGGGATGTACCAGAGTACATTTCAAGTACTCTGGGAGTAAAGAAAAAAAATAAAATAAGATGATAAATGGAAGAGGTTGTCTGATGGCTTGATGAAGATGCTTGAAGAGAATGAGAATGAAGGAAGAGATGAGGGTTATTAATAGGCCACAGGGATGCCAGTTTAAGCCTATGCTCCTCTCCTTATCCTCCTCTTCCTCTCTCCTCCAAAACAGAATTTGCGTCTTCTAGTCTGTCCCTATCTGCTCTTCCAGTCCATCATGCCTACACTAGTCTTATTTTTCTCTTTTCATAATCTTGACCATTGGGAAGAAATACATGTGAACCTCTCTTAAAACAAATAGCTGATTGTTGTGCTAGGGGAAGATGTGCTTTTCAGGGCAAATTAATATTGGAATTTGGAGTTACTACTGACCTGCCATCCTGACTATATTTTGCAGTTGCTTCTCACCCCACTCCCCCCAGTTTTTACAGATTTAGAGTTTTAAAGGACCTGAGAGGTAGCTCCCTTATTTCAGATGAGAAAACTGAGCCCAGGAAGGTTAAATAACGACTTGTCTGAGGTCACACAGGTTAAGAAACATATAGCCAGTGAACAAGTTGTGGTATTTGAATGTAATGGAATACTATTGTGCTATAAGAAGTGATGAGCAGGCAGACTTCAGAAAAACCTGGAAAGACTTGTATGGTTTGATGCTGAGTGAAGTGAGCAGAACGAGGAGAACACTGTACACAGTAACAGTAAATTGTTCAATGACTAACTTTGACAGACTAAGCTCTTCTGAGTAATGCCAAGTATCTAAGACATCTCCAAAAGTCTCATGATGGAAAATGCTATCCACATCCAGCGAAAAAACTATGGAGTCTGAATGCAGTTTGAAGCATAGTATTTGTTCTTTCTTTTTCTTCTGTTTTGTTTTGTTTCTTTTTTCTTGTAGTTCCTCCTATTGGTTTTAATTTTTCTTTACAGCATGACTAATGTGAAAATATGTTTAATAGGAATGTGTATGTAGAGCCTACATCAGATTGCACACCGTTTAGGGGAGGGAGGTGGGGAAAGAAGGGGATAAAATCTAAAACTGAAAAGCTTATGGAAGTGAATGTTGAAAACTAAAAATAAATTTTAAAAAAAAAGAGAGAGACATAGAGCCAGAACTTGAATTCAGGTCCTTTTGGCTCCAAACATATTACAATCTATCTCATTGTGACATTAACTATGAATCAACAATGCCCTAGGAAAAGTGTGATGATCCCCATATGTTTTAATCTTAAGAAAATTGGAGCTGTGATATCTTCATGTAGTATGAGAAACAAAAACTTTTAATTTTAGGTAATTGTCCTGTCCTCTTTCAAGTGTGAATAATTTAGATATTAATCAACTGAAGAATCCCTGCAAGTAATGCAACAGACCAGAAAGTTAAGAGTTATAAATCCTAGTTTGGTTTTGAAATGAGTAGAATAATTAGACCTGGGCCTAACAATGCCATGCACATATTTGCAGTCAGTCAATACTCAGTTTGCAGAAATGAATTTAAAATCTGACCATCGCTGGCTTTGAGGAAATGTGTGTTTCTTGAAAAACATGGGATGATTAGGGAATCTGTATTTTTTAAAATGTCTCTCTCCACACTGTTCAGTGCTGAGCACTGAGTCTAGGCTTGCTTCAGATGTGATTCTCACAGAAACCCTACTTAGTATGGCTATTTTCTCTGTTAAGAAGGATGGAAATGTGGAAGAATCTACCTCTTGTCCCTACAATTTTTGAAGGAATTACATCTTCAATATAAGTAATAAAAGGAGTATTTTTAAAAAAAATTTAAATTTTAAATTAAAGCATTTTTCTTTTCAGATCCACATTCTTATCTGCCCTCCCCCCTTCCCATCCCATTTAAGCAAAATCCCCATTAGAGTAAATATTTTTTTACTATTGATTAAGTTCCCAATTCCAAATAGCGAGGTGTGGAAGAGGAAAGACTAATGGCACATAATTTAGTTGCAATACACTTTCTAAATGCCCCCAAGTAGGTGAATAAATCCCGGGGAGCTTCTCTGGAGGACCATATGGCTTAAACCACTAGCCCAGCCGGGATTACGCAGTTGGAGTCCAGGGCTGGGTTTGAACCCGGGCCTCCCCTACAAACCCAAGTCCTGCCAGTGGCACCCTCGCCGAGTCTACTGCAAGACTCGCAGCAGCCCCTTGGAAATTACCCGACTTTTTCCCCATTCCACTCGGACTCCCGCTGAGTCAGGCTGCCCCTGCCACTTATCTGGGCATAAATGCCCATTACCCAGTAATGAGGTCATTGTATGATTAGTCGTAATGAACCCCTTTGATTTCGTTACCGGAGACCTCCCGTGAAGTGGGAGTCTCTGTAAGCGTACATAAAGCAAATGCATCAGTAAAGCCGAAAGTGGTAAAATAGTTATGATCGTAATAAAGAAGAGCTGGCATTAACGCGAGGCTCTGAGGTTTGCTCAGAAGCATTCCGCGATTTTCTCGGGTCTGGTTTGTGGGAGAGGGGGAGGTATTCCAGCCACGCTCCTCGCACAAGTCCAAGGTCTCGGGCCTCGGGGGCAGAGCCGCGGGATGGGGCCCGCAAACCCCGCAGCCTCCGGGCTGTCGGCACGAGCGCTCGGGGCCCAAAGTCGCCAGGAGCAAAGCGCCCGGCTGTGGCGGCCCCCCGCCGGGAGGGCCTGGCGACGCCGAGCCCGGCGCTGGGTCCGCCTCCTGGGCGCGTCGCTTGCGCCGCCGCACGTGTGCGAGCTCCGGCGGCGGGCTCGGGGTCCGTGGGGAGCGGCGACGCGGCTTCTCGTTGATGTTCCGCGGCCTCGGCGGCCGACTCCTGCGGTCCTGCCCCATCGCTCCTCCCGGCCTGCGGCCGCGCTTCCTCCGCCTCCGCGGGGTCCCAGGAAGGGCTTCGGCCGCCCGCGGCTCCGGGCCTCTCTCCGCAAACCCTCCCTCGGGCCGCGGCGCTCGCTGGTGAGTGGGCACTACGCGCGCCCCCGGCCCTCCCCCGGAGCCCCTGCCGCGCGCCCCCGGCTCTCCCAGGGAGCTCCTGCCCCGCGCCGGCTGGTCAGTGGGCACTACGCGCACCTCCGGCTCTGCCCCGGAGCCCCTGCCCCGTGCCGGCTGGTGAGTGGGCACTACGCGCGCCCCCGGCTCTCCCCCGGAGCCCTGCCGTGCGCCCGCTGGTGAGTGGGCACTACGCGCGCCCCCGGCTCTCCCCCCGGAGCCCCTGCCCCGCGCCGGCTGGTGAGTGGGCACTACGCGCGCCCCCGGCGCTGCCCCGGAGCCCGCGGCCTGTCTGCCTCCATTAGCCGCTCAGTCCGAGGGAGCGTGGCCCGGGTCGGCCTCAGCGCCCTGCCACTCGTCACCCCGCCTCCTCCCTCCCCACGCTTTCAGCCCGGCCCGGGGGTCTGCATCTCCCCCCTTCTCCGGGCTTGGCCCAGTACATGCCTCCCCCGCCTCCCCTGCACCTTCTTCCTTTCCTCCTGCTGACAGCTCGTCCCTTTCCTTCTCCATTCCTTCCCGCTTCCATGTGCTTAGCAGGAGATGGCTGGCGTTTCCAGGCACAATTCTTTTATTATTATTTGCTGAAATAGTGTATGGATGAGGAAGGAATTGTGATGGGGGAACATTGTTGCTCCATCTATGGGGAGGGGGTGATGGATCGTTGATGGGTTTTGGAACCGGTAGGAAAAAGCATTGATCAGATATGAAAATGGCATATGTCCCCCTAGTGGGAATCCCTGGTTCGATCCACTGGATGCACCCTGGACCTGGAATCAGGAAGGCCCTAGTTCAAATGTGACCTCTGATTCTTACTAGCCTTGTGGTCCTGGACAAGTCACTTAATCGGTCAGCTTTTCCTCATCTGTAAAATGGGGATGACCATAACAGCCATCTCCTGGAGTAGTAGTGGGATAAAATGAGGTATTTGTAAAGTGATTGGCTCTATATAAATGCTATTAGTACTGTTTTCCAAAGTATCTTGGTATCTCTCCTTTGAAAAGTCATTTGAATCTGTTGCCTGGAGCACCCACTCCTGAATTTAAGCCTTGGACAGGCAGTCAGTAATCAGGATTTTTAGGACTATATTTCCCCAAGAATGCTATAAGCAGTTCCGGTTTCCAAACTTTCCTTTTTCTGCCAGTGTCAAGTAAAATGCTCAAAGTAAGAAAGAACTTTTTAACTGTTAAAAGCAATGTAAAGTGGAATGGGCTTTTCCCTCTAGACTACAGGTTTTATAGCAGTGAATTCTTGTTCACTAAAGATGATTAAGGGCAGCTAGGTGGCAAAGTGAATAGAGCACTGGAGAGATAAATAGACTCATTTTCCTAAATTCAAATCCAGCCTCAGACACTTACTAGCTGTGTGACCCTGGGCAAGTCACTTAACTCTATTTACCTCAATTGCCTCCTATGTAAAATGAGTTGGAGAAAGAATTGGCCAACTACTCCATTATCTTTGCCAAGAAACCCCCAAATGGGGTCAGGAAGAGTCTGATAGGTCTGAAAAGCAACAAAAAAAGGTCATTAGAGAAGGCTGACTGACCTTTTGTCAATAATTCTATAGATAGGATACATATTCCAGATTGGAGTTGGACAAGATGCTTTCTAAGGTTCCTTCCAACTCTTAAAATTCTGTGTTTCTATGAACTGTATGTGATTTACTTTTTTTTTTAAAGAAATGAATTTTTTCGGCGGCAGCTAGGTGGCGAAGTAGATAGAGCACCAGCCCTGAAGTCAGGAGGACCTGAGTTCAAATGCAGCCTCAGACCAAACACTTGACACTTACTAGCTGTGTGACCCTGGGCAAGTCACTTAACCCCAATTGCCAAAAAAAAAAAAAGGAAAAAAGAAATTAATTTTTTCAATCAACACACATTATTTCCTCTTTCCCACTTCTTCCCTATTAAAAAAAAAAAGAAAGAAGAACAATAGATATGGATAGTCTAATTTACTTTTTATCTCTGTGTAGCAGTGGTGGTAATAGAATTATACGGTTTTGTCTTCTACGAGGACTCAGACCCTGAAGCGTATAGGAATGGATCTGGGAATTGGACCTATGTCTGTGCTGAGCTGCCTCTAACAGGTCATCTGTTCCTTGTCATCTTGTATGACTTTTCCTTCCGTAGCTTCCATAGGGTGATCACCCAGTGCATTGGAAGTCGAGGTACTTTACCATACTCTGAGTACCCGGGTGACACTTGGAGTGTGTCCACGTTACCCCCACTTTTGCTTCATGACCAATCACATATCTTCTGGAGTAATGGAGGATATACCTTAATGGAGCTGTGGGTATTCCCTGCTTGTGCAGATTGCTACTCACCTTCTTGCATCCATCTTCTTCTTCATATCCTTCTGTAAATCCCCTATAATTTTTGGATGACCTTCCCCTAGATCTCTTTGAATTTATATGGGTAGCAGTAAAGAGCACATGGGCTGTTCACTAGTTTATTACTCATTCTCACTCTCTAGGTAGCACATTTGTCCTTTTCCAGTCTCCCATGTATATGAATATATGTATTTATGTACATATACAGTGTACATCTTATTTCTTTTTGCTTCTCCCTACACATTTCTTTCTTGGTAACATGTTATAGTGTATTTATAAACACCATGTGTCTCCCTGAAATCCTTTGGGCAACCTGCACCTTTAGTTCTTGGGACAATGTGCTATTTAATTCCTGAGGGTGATGTAGTATCACCAGACAACCAATGACATCAGGAGGGTCATGTGTTGACTTACAAGTAAATTGGATTTAAGTGAGGAAGAGCAGTGGAAGGCATAGCTCAGGATGACTATTTAAAGTCCTTCACTGCCTGGCAGGAGCCTACCTTTCCAGGCCTATTGAGAATCACTTTTTCATAAGCCAGCCTGCTCGCTGTTTTCCATACACAATATTCCATCTCCCACCAACGTACCTTTGCACAGACTTTCCTCTGTGTCTGGGATGAGCCTCTTCCTTACTTCTCACATGAGAGAATAACCTAGCTTTATTCAGAATTCAGCTCAAGTGCCACCTTTCTCTAAATTTTGTATTTAATTTTCTATGTGCATTTTCCCTGTATAGACTATGAACCTCTTGAGGACAGGGACTACTTTGTTGTTATTGTAGCTGAAGCACCTATCATGATGCCTGGCACATAGTAGGTGCTTAAGACATGCTTGTTGAATTGAATGAAAGCATTCTTCTTAAAGTATTTATGTTCTTTCTTTACTCTCTTTTTTTTCTCCTTCTCCAAAGATTATCTTAGATGCTGTCTTGGGACCTTAAAAATGGAGACAATGGAAGTGACTGGAGTATCTATGAAACGTTCTCTTTCCATTGATGAAAATGATGATCTAGCTCAAGCTGATGAAGCTAAAAGGCAGAAGGTCTCAGAATGCCATTTGGCTAAAGATCAGGAGACTTTGGATGATGGTTGTGCCCTGAACAATGAGACTGTAACCAGACAGTCAGAAACCACAACTGCCAGAGAAGGTAGAATCAATGTTGAGGCCCAGATTGAAGAAGAGGAAGAGGAGGATGGACTTTTGGAAGAGGGAGAGGAGGAGGAGGAGGAGGATGGAGAGAGCTTTGCCGATATGATGAAGCATGGACTCACCGAGGTGGATGTTGGCATCACAAAGTTTGTGAGTTCTCATCAAGGCTTCTCAGGAATCTTAAAGGAGAGGTATCTTCCTTTTGTGTATAGTTGATTTGGCAAGGCTGTGGGAGGAGCTGAAATTCATCTCTGAGGTTCTGAAAGCGCAGCCAGTGAATTCAGGCACTACATTTCCATTTAATGTGATAGTTTTCAGATTGAAATGTTTGACCTTGTTAGGGAGGAGGGAAAGACAGAAGTAGCCCAGTCTGTACTGCAGAATATTACTTCGGGAAATGATATTTTGTGAGTTGGATTTAATTAGAATCTCTATACAAATAACTCATAGGGGCAGCTAGGTGGCACAGTGGATAGAGCACCGGCCCTGAAGTCAGGAGGACCTGAGTTCAAATCCAGCCTCAGACCAAACACTTGACACTTATTAGCTATGTGACCCTAGGCAAGTCACTTAACCCCAATTACCCAAAACAAAAACAAAACAAATAATTCTCATTTCTATATATCCCGCCATAGTTTCTCTCCTGAGTTCCAGCCCCTTTTCACCAACTATTGTGTGTACCTCTGTTGGACATTTTGGTCTGGATGCCCTGTAGGCATCTCAATCTCAGAATGTCCAAAACAAAACTCATTATCTCTTCCACCAAATCTGCCCCATCTTTCTAACTTCCTTATTTCTGTCAAGGGTGCTATTACCCTTCCAGTCACCTAGGTCAGCAACCTCATTGGCATCCTTGGTTGTTCCCTCTTCCTTAAACCACGTATCTACGCTTGGCCAGATCTTGACATTTCTGCCTCTAACTCTGTCTCACATGCCCCCCATCTCTCTCTCTCTCTCTCTCTTTCTCTCTCTCTCTCTCTCTCTCTCTCTCTGTCTCTGTCTCTCTCTCTCTCTCTCTTTTGGTGAGGCAGTTGGGGTTAAGTAACTTTCCCAGAGTCACACAGCTAGCGAGTGTTATGTGTCTGAAGCCAGATTTAAACTCAGGTCCTCCTGACTCCAGGGCCAGTGCTCTATCCCCTGGGCCACCTAGCTGCCCCTCCCCCATCTCCCCACCCATGTAACCACCACCCTAATTTAGGCTCTCCTTCCTCAATAAATTCCGATAGCTCTTTGTTATTCCTAGGATTAATTATAAACTCCTCTGGCACATTTAAACTTTTACTGGTCTGGGCCCAAATTATCTTTCCATTCTTATGCATTATACCCCTTCATATACCCTGTGGTCCAATCAAAATGAATTTCTTACTGTTCCTCATATGTGGCATTCTGTAATTCCATTCTATAAACCATCTCCAGGCCTTTGTACTGGCTGTCATGCCTAGAACAAATTATCTCACTTCTGCCTCTTAGAATCCATAGTTCCTTCAAGATTTAGCTCAGGTACTACCACCTTCTCATCCCCACTCAAACTTCTCATCCCCACTCAAACCCCACTCCCCCAGCTGCTTGTGCCCTCAGCTCTTATATCCTCTTGTTTTTGTATGTACATATATATTCGTGATAGTGTGTAAGCTCCTTGAGTTCCTTCTTGTATAGCTCTTAGCATGGTTCTTGGCACCTAGTGAGTGCTTAAAAAGTATTTTTTGATTGATTGCTTGGTGGCTTCATTTACATGATCTGGGTTGTGCTGTCAAGTAGAAGTACAGTTCCAAACTACCTAATTTGTAATTAATATGCAAATAGTGCTGCTGATAATTTCCAAAACAATTTAATTTATTAAATAGGTTAAAGTTTTCTTCTAGAATTTTATAACTGAATTTCTTAAGCTCCTCTTGCCCATGTTTTCATAGAGAATACTAAGGCAAATTTCAACCTCTCAGAATTTTTTTTCCTTTTCTGATTGGGATCTTTTACTTCATTGCTCTAGGGAATTCTTGGTGTGAAAATTCCCAGCATGAATTCAGCTCAGAATGAATATGTAACTTTATAACTTTAGACTGTTGCCTGTGGCATTGAAAGGTTCTTGCTGTTCCTTCCCAGAATCCCAGAGGCAAAGACACAAATGAGCTCAGGTCTTCCCAGCTCCAAGACTGGACCTGTAGCCATTACCCTCTAGCTATACTGCTTCTTGTTGAAGTTATTTCGATTTAAAAAAAAAAGTGACCTAAATTAGTACAGTTTTACTCTGTTTCACCTGTTACTTAATGGTAATTCTTACTTGCATAGACCAGGAAAAAAATCATAAACTGTTGTTTTTGTACTTCTCTGCAGGATTACACAAAACCTCCCTATTAAGTATAGTGGCAGGTTCATACCATGTACAAGTCAGCATTCATTTAAAACAAAAAAAAAAAACACACCACCACATGATTCCTTGTAGAAGGTGGGGAAAAAAGGAACAGTTTTAGCCTGTTCAAGGCTTTTATTGACATTCTTAACTGCTTACAAGTGTGATCTTAAAATTTAATGAAAAATTGAACACTTTCTTTTTCTGTTTTCTTTTTATTAGATACTCCGACTTCATTGTTCATGAAATAGGGAAAGATGGCCGTATAAGCCATTTGGATAACTTATCCGTGCCAGTGGATGATGAGGTAGCTGTAGAATTCTTTAACAAAGTTACTGGTTTTAGTAAGATCTTGTTATTTTCATGCTTGGAATTCTGTTTGTGAGTGACTACTGGTGTTTTGTTTTTTTTTTTAATTTCTCTTCTTTGTATTTTCTTTTGGTCATTTTAAAGGATCCTTCTGACAATATATTTACAGTTCTGACAGAAGAAAATAAGCAGCGTTTGGAAGAACTTCAGCTTTTTAAGAATAAAGAAACTAGTGTAGCCCTTGAGGTAAATAACAGAAAAAAATGTGAAAAATTTTACCAGTGCTTTTGCATTATCTTTTTGGAGTAGAATGTGGTTAAAGCCACATTGAAGGCAGACTTTAATATATCTAACATTAAGCATGTTATTTGTACATCATTAGTATAACCACTTTAAAATGAAACATCGTTGGAATTTCTGGCAGTTCTTTATGAGTATGGTTTGGCCTTCAGTGGTACAGTGGATAGAGCTTTGGCCCTGAAGTCAGGAAGACCTTAGTTCAAATGTGGCCTCAGACACCAACTGGGCAAGTTATGTAACCTCTTTCTGTCCAGCTACTTCATCTGTAAAGTGGGGCTAATTATAGCACCTATCTGCCAAGGTTATTGTGATGATCAAGTGAGATAATTTGTAAAGGCACACAGTAGGCTTTTAATAAATGCTTGTGTTCTTCCCACACCCTTAAATCCAAGGGTCATTGTGAAGATAAAATGAGATAATATTTGTAAAGTGATTTGCAAACCTTAAAGTGCTATTTTTGAATGATTATATGAGTGTTAAAGTTACTTTATGTTCACCTTGAAATTTCAAGGACATTCCCTGATTTGAAAACAAAACAAAAATCTTTGACCCTTTGGACTTATTTCCTTTTAGATTCCTTAAATGTTCTTTGGGGCCCCTAGGTGGTGCAGTGGATAAAGTGCCAGGCCTGAAGTTAGGAAGATTCATCTACCTGAGTTCAAATCTGGCCTCAGACACCTGGGCAAGTCACTTAACCTTGTTTGCCTCAGTTTCCTCATCTGTAAAATGAATTGGAGAAGAAAATGGCAAACCATTGCAGTATCTTTGCCAAGAAAACCCCAGATGAGGTCACAAAGGGTCAGACATGACTGAACAACAACACAATGTTCTTTATCCTACTCTGTCCCTCCAGGTGGTTGGAATTTAACCATTAGATATTCCTGGCTAGGACAGACACAGACCAGTCGCCTATTAGCTTAGGTTTAATATTGGAAAAGGAGATTTATCTCATAGCTGGGGAATGATATGCATTAAGGACATTGCAAGTTGATTCAGCTTCGATGAGCTCTCCTGCCTCTGGGTTGCCCGTGGTGAGCCTCTGTGATCTGAGAGAGGCTGGAGCTCCTCCTGGCTGTTTGTGCTTAGGTGACCAGGAACTGTTACCAACAGTCTAAGCCTTTAGTCTTCAGAGCCACTCAAATCTCAAGGGCCATTTCAGCACCTTTTAAGGAGATGCTTGCTTAACTTGCGTGGGAGTTGGCTTTAGAATATTGCACCAGCCTACATTTGGTTTATGTATTAGTGACTGTCATTATTATTACTATTATCATCAGTAGTAATAAGTCGTCACATTTATCTAGCACTTTGCAGGGTTCCATCTTTTGGCTCCTCTCCCTTTGTCCCCAACCAGAAAAATTACTAATCTAGTGTCTTTTCATGATGTGAAGGTAATCTTGAGATCTGAAAGTATGTGCTAGCAGAAAAAAAAAAAGAAAGAAAAGGTCTAACACTTTCTACCAAACTGGAAAGGCCTCAAGTCTGGGCTCAAGGACAAGCTTTGTTTGTTGTCTGAGAAAGGTGTCTCACCATTCAGTTGGCCAGTGTGTGGTGAATTTGTTGTGAGCCATGGAGACTTACAAACAAACAAAAGTTCACTAGACCTCTCTAGTATGTGGCCCCTCCTTCTTCCCTGCTTTCTTCCCTCCCTTTGTTTCTAAATGACTGCAAACGTGGAGTCCTGATATTCTCAGATTATCTACAAGCATTCATTTACCTGTTGGTAAAGTTAGTATGCAATCTATATTCAGTGACTAGTGAATGGATACAGAATCAGAGAATATTGGTGGACGGCACCTTGAGATGGATAACCTAGTCTCAGTCCCGGAGAGGTGACTTGTTTTGCCTAGGATTACACAGCTAATAAGGAGGAGTGCTGGCCCCTGAGCCCAGGTCTTTTGACTCTTGTCTTGTACTCCACACTTCCGTTACTGGAAATACTGAACCACAACCACATTGATATTCTTGCTAAAAATGAAACAAGATTTAAAGAGGTTGCCATTAAATAGAGGAGGAGGGGACACCTTATAAGATGTCTTACACAGGGGCAAATAAAGGAGTTGTCAGAGTTCATATTATCATGAACACCAAGGCAGTTAGAAAGCATTCATGGGACCATTGGTAATCTCATCTCAGAGAGCTCATGACGTGTGTTACCAAACACACTGTCACAAAAGTTACACTTTCCATGCCAGCAGGCGTTGCAGAAGATGAAAATGGAGAAGTTTTTGAGGGATTGAACGAGGTTCTGTAAACTCAGTCTTTGTACCTGGCGACTTCAGTGTGCAGATAAAAGTGAAAATTCTCTCAGAAGAGAAGGTTTAGGATCAAGAAATTAGAGTAAAGGCCTAGAGGTAATTTAGAAGGTACCTCATCCATGCCTTTGTGACATGTATGTTTCCTTCAAGAAGAGTCAGAAGCTAATGGACATGGTGAACACAGAAAATGGAATTGATTTTATCTTTGTATTCCAGAGATGAGTACAGTCTGTGTTTAGTCTTAAATGGTTAAAGTGAAAGTCAAAATCAGTAACAAAATAAAAGAAAGACTGCTCTAGAAGAGACTGTGCTTGAAAAGAGCTGTTTTTAGTCTGACCTATTCAGACAAGCTGTCAACTCTGAAAAGGAGGTATGGACAGAATAAAGATGTTAACCCTATCACCACTTCTTGGCAATTTTTAACCAAGAGGCAGCAGTAGATAGCTTGCGTCAAAGCCAGGAAGACCTGAATTCAAGTCTCACCTCTAACACATCCTAGCTTTGTGACCCTGGACAAATTACTTAACCTCTCAGTGCACTGGGATGATTTTCTAAGTCTATAATTTACAGTGAAGGTACTGACCTGCATTGGTGGAGATAGTTGCCACACTTGGGAGTTCCCTATACTGATAAAATCACAGGTCCCTGTCTCCATCCCTTTTCACCAATGGAAATTAGTTACCATGGAGAAATCTCAGACGGCTTCAGCCAGCAAATATGATCTCTTTGCTAAACAGAGAAACACAGCAGACCCTGGTAGCAGTTTAGGGCACATGCACGTGTGCAAAATGTTATAGCAGAGAAAGATGGGAGATTATAAGCAGTATTTATTGCTTCAAAAACAATGAAAACAAACGGAAGGGAAAACAAGCCTACAGAGAGCTTGGTGTGAGACCCAGCTGAGCCAAATCATCCCAAGAGCACTTAGAGCCCAAATGGGAAGAAATAAAACAAGTCTGCCAGTGTTACTATAGTGATCTGTTCTCATTGGTGACAATAATGAAATTAGCATTTTTCATCCCTGCCACCTGAGCACACCATGGACTGTGAGAGGAATCTGTAATGATGTTTAAAGTCATGGTGCAGTGGAGGGATAACTGAGTTCAAATTCTGGCTCTGCTGCTTGCTACCCTTACGTGAGGCACCTAGGTGGAGTGGTGACTAAGACCAGGCTTGGAGTCAAGACTTTTGTTGTTGAGTTGTTTCAGTCGTGTCTGATGATATTTTTAAAGCCCTTAGCACAGTGCCTGATACATAGTGCACAGTGCCTGATACATAGTACATGGTGTGTAAATGCTAGCAATCATCATCATCATCATTATTATTAAATCTTCTTAATACTATTTTCAGCTAATGTTGTATTAATTTAGAATTCAGCACTTCTTAAACTATGGGTCATGACCCCATGTGGGGATGTGAAAAATTTGGCGACAGCAAAAGATTTCTAAACGCTCAACGACCAAAAATTATTTAAAAATCAAACGTGTAACAAATTGGAGTTGTTTCTGGAAGCAATTGCCTGTGTGTTGCATCGGGCAACTTTACTTCAGCCTTGGTTCTGAACACAAAGCATGCACGCTTTGCACTGCACATGCCCTCAGGCCGTGTACCACCACCGAACTGCCCAAGTGAATTGCCAAGGTGCAAAGGGGTCAGGAGTAGAAAAAGTTTAAGAAGCACTAAGATCAAATCCTGGAATACTAGAAACCCTTTTCAATAAAACCCTTAATTATTTGAAAAAGATTTGTCATACTGTCCAAACAAGAAAAAAAAGTATATAACAAAGACATTTCATCAGCTCTTCCTTGAACTATTTTGATAACCTTCTAATTGGCCTACCTGCCTCCAGTATTTCCCTACTCCCAGCAGCTGCCAAAATGACATTCATAAAGCACACATGTCTTATTGTGCTCTTTCCCTGCTTACAAAGCTCCAGTGACTCTCTTTCACTTCTAGGAAAAATATAAATTAGTCTGCTTGGCCTTCAGTGTCCCTTTCCAGTCTTGCCTGGACATTGCCTGACACATGCTAAGCACTTAATTAAGACTGGTTGCTTGATTGGCTCTTTCCAGGCTTAGGCCTTACTGCTCTTCATTTGGCCTGCCAGCCAAACTGGCCATCTTATTCTTCCTTACCTAATGTTCCATCTCCCATCTCTGTCCCTCATGCCTGGAGTGTATTTTCTCCTCATCTCTGCCTCTTAAAATCCCTTTCTTCTTTCAAATCTAAGCTCACATGCCAATTGCTGTATGAGGCCTTTCCCCAGACCCTTAGTGACTATTGTCTCCCCGCCTCCAAAAATTGTATGTATTGTATAGTGTGTATTTCCTTGAATATGTACATGTTTCCTCCTGACAGAATGTAAACTTCTAGATGACAGGGACCCTTTCATTTTTTTTTTTCTGGTTTTTGAATCTCTAGTGCCTGAGTTCAAATCCAGCTTCACATTTACTAGCTGTAAGACTGGGCAAATCACTTAACCTGTCTGACTTAGTTTCCTCATGTGGAAAATGGGGATGATAATATCACCTATCTCTCAGGGTTATTATGTATTTGTAAAGCACTTAGCACAGTGCTTGGAACAGAGTAGGCACTATCTAAATGTTAGCTATTGTTATTTTAATTATGTTATTATTTTATTACAAATGTTATTCTGTTATCAGTATTTTAACCACTTCCAATTTGGGTGGAAAGTTCATTAAAATATGATGGTGATAATAGCTAGCATTTATGCAATGTCTGCTATGTTATAATAGGTGTTTAAGAAATTCTTATTTTGTCATTTTATCACTTATAATACAAAATGTGTATTTCCCATTTCTGGCCTGAATTTGCTGTTGAAAAATGTAATTGGAACCACGTTGAAAGAACATGAATATTTGTGTAAGCTTCAAGTGTCTGAGGTCATATTTGAACTCAGGACCTCTTGACTCCAGGATGGATACTCTATGCACTATGCCACCTAGCTGCCCCCTTGATGATGCCTTCTTTACTACTTTACTGCCTTTGCACTTAGTAACTGTAGTATGTGTGTGTTCATGGCAAGTCATCTGTAATTTCTTTAGTTCATTACAATCCTAAAACAAGTATAGGTTTAAACAAAAATATTCAACTATCGAAAAAAAAAAAGAAATTCTTTTAGATTAATATTTTTATTGTAGGTTTTTGAAGACACCAAAGAGAAAAGAACTATTATCCATCAAGCAGTGAAATCTTTGTTTCCTGGATTAGAGACAAAAACAGAGGAAAGAGATGGGAAAAAATATATCGTGGCTTACCATGCAGCTGGGAAAAAGGCTTTGGCAAGTAAGTGAGTGTGTGATTGTGTGTGTGTAAGTGTGTAATCTTGACACTTAAGTTTTCCAGGGCAGAGGGCATTGATATTTGTCCGTTTTTTATTCATCTGTATGACTGTTCAATTTTTATTCAGTCAAAAATATTCAGGATGTCAGTCTTTCAGAGAAGTTGAATATTGTCCTTTGGAAGGCCAGGGCATTGTGTGAATTCACACACACAAACATGCATGCACACACACATCTCCCCAAGCTTCATTGTAGCCTTCTTGGGGAGGAAGGTGGAAAAAAAGAACAAAATAAAAAGTGCACAGCAGAGAACAAAAAAAACTTACAAGGAAGCAAAGAAAAGCTTTGAACACAATGTGTAGTATTTATTACATAGGCTTTCTTGAAATGGAAATTTATTGTTGTATATTTTGAATCTTCTCTTAAGTTGCAAAAAAAATGTGGGAGGGGTGTTTATATTAAGTGAAATTGATGAACTATGTCTTACTTATCTCAAGGTAATTGTCTGTTAAAAGGAGATAATAAAATAATGTGCTGAAATATGAATGAATGAAATATGTATCTGGTGAAAAAAAAGCAAATGTTGGTTTTTCTTCTATCCACAAGCAAATTGTTTAAATAGTATTTTGAGAAATTTCTGGATCAAAACAAGACATTTTAGATGTTCTTGTTAAGAAATACATCCAAAATTAAGGTTAATTAATTGTATTTTTGGTCAACAACACCCTTCTTCAGTAATAAGATTAGAAAAGGATATTAATAAAGCGTGTCTTAGTCTAATTGGTAAAACACTAAGAAAGAAAAAACTCAAGCCTTTGATATTTTCATGATTGTTTCTTGGAAATGATCATTTCCTTAGGGAAGTGTATCTAGTCTTGGCTTGTACTACCTGTAACTAAAAGTGATTGGAATTGTGAGTTCTGTTGTATTGTCATTGCACCTTTTTTACCCATTTCCTTTGCGTAAGTCAAATGAATTTTCCCTCCATTCGCTTTATATTTCTTCTCCGTTCCATCTCTCCTGCCTTTCATGCAATTCTAGAAGTTCTTACACAAGCCACCACTTTGTTTTTCAGGCTTCATTTCATAGTATCTTTCAGTCTAGAGCTGGTGGAGACCTCAAAGGTCATCTGGTCCAGTTCTCTTACTTTACAGATGAGGAAGTTGAGGGCCAAGAAGCTTAAGTGGCTTGAACATGGATGGTCATGTAGATAACAAGTATCAGTGGATGGATTTGAACCATGGTCTTTTAACTCCAAATCCATCTCTTCATTTCACAGAAAATCACAGAATTATTTCGTAGTTGTAAGGGACTTCAGTGGTTCCCCACCCCTGGACCTATACTTCCAACAAATCATCACTTTTTTCCATACCTGATTAGTGGTCACACCACATAAGTGAACAGTTTCTATCAGTTATTCCTCACCATTATCTCTTGCCTCTATCCCATCTCTTATACCACTGCTACCACATGGGTACAGGTTCTAATTTTCTCTTATTCACAATGTTGTCTTACACTCTAGGAACAGAAAAGCAGCGCTATCAGAAAGTAGTAGAAACTAGTAACGGAAGACAGGAAACTATACCAGTTGTGTAGTAGAAACAGAAATGTGGAGGATAGCTGGTTAGCAGTAGACTTGTGGCCATACTACATTTACAAATGACCCCAAATGGGAGAAAAACCCTATATTTTCAGTGACATTTTAATGAGTTGGTCCTTGAAACTGTGCTTGGCATAATGCCTGGCACACAGTAGGCCCTGTGTAAATGCTTTTCCCCTTACTCTCCCCCTTCTTTTTTTGCAAAGCTAAGTAAGCCTTTACTGTCTTCCTAGAACTGTACTATTTCTAAGCCCCGAAAAATTAAAAAAAAGAACTAGTGTTCTCTGTCCATATAAATGCTATTTAGTAAACCTGTAGTATATATTATATCCAAGAAAAACTTATAAGTAAAAAGAATTATGCAGATTTCAATTGGTAAGAATAACCCATAGTATTATTTTCTTTCTTTCTTTTTTTTTTTTTTAAGGTTAGGCAGTGGGGTTACGTGACTTGCCCAGGGTCACACAGCTAGTAAGTGTTATGTGTCTGAGGCCGGGTTTGAACTCAGGTCCTCCTGAGTCCAGGGCTGGTGCTCTATCCACTACTCTACCTAGCTGCCCCTCATAGTATTATTTTTTAAGTGCTTAGAAAGCACTCTGATACCCATACCTCTGTGATAACATGAGTATGAGGATCAACCCTATTTTACACATGAGGAAACTGGAATTTATACAGTTTAAGTGACTTAACATACATCTTGAAAGTCCAAACTAGGGCTTGAACTCAGATTAACTCTTAGGTCATTCATTCATTCTTCTTTTTATGCCATGCTGTCTAATGGACCCCAAAAGGTGTCTTTAATTCAGTAGTAGTATTACAAAAATTTCTCAAACCTTGGGGAAAAAATTTTTTTATTCGCTTGAACTTTGGTCTTGAAATCAGGGAGAACTGGGTTCAAGTCCAACCTGTGGTTGTGATTTATTTAAGTGATTATATTTAATATGTGATTTTTTAATATTTATTTTTAAAATTATTTAATATTTAATTTTTAATAAGTTATTTTATTGATATTAAGTGATTGTATTTGACCTCCCCATGTTCAAGGCAGTTCTCTAAGACTAGAAGTTGATGAGGTGCAGATCCCAAATTGGCAGAGAGACTTTTCCGTGCTTGAGAATCCCTTATGTACCAATGAAATCATAGGTCTAGTGGGTCCCATTCCCATCCATCTTGCTTGAACTGAGAACACAGGCAGCTAGATGGCGCCATAGTACACAGAGTGCTGGGCCTGGAGTCAGGAAGACCTGAATTCAAAATACTAGCGTGGTGGTGTTGGGCAAGTCACCTAATCCCTGTTTGCCTCAGTTCCCTCATCTGTAAAATGGGCATAAGCAACTACCTCCCAGGGTTGATGTGTGAGGAGCAAAAAGATAATTGTAAAAGGCTTAGCACAGTACTCTGGCACATAGTAAGTGCTATATAAATGTTAGCTATTATTAGTTACTAATATGAAATAATTAAACAAATAGTAATAATAATTATCTTTGGATTTAGAAACTCCATATCACTTTTATAAGGAGGGATTGGAATGTCATCAAGGCAAAATGCATATAAATTGTGTGTCTTAACCCTCAGTACCTTGAAGTCATTAGATTCATTTACTACACAATTCTACAAAGTTTAAATTCTGTATGTAGTGTTTATTTAGACCATGATACATGTATATATTCATGTGTATTTATGTGAGAAAGTGATAACTCTTGTTATTTTTGTGCACTTACTAATTAGAGTATGCAGGTGTATAAATGAAAACTTAAATCCCAATAGGTTAATTTTCTTTTGACATAGCATTTTCTACCAGTTCTCTGTTTGTGGCTATATTCATTCCTTACAGCTAAGTGGGAATGTAGAATTTCTAGGTAAGAGACCATCCAATTAAATTTCAGGAATTTTCATCAGTAGCCACTTTAAAAATTGATAATTACATGATAATTATCTATGATAATTAAATACAAGAAAGCAAAGCTATGAATTTATTTTATCTTACTTTTATTTCACATCTTAAACTTTGATTTCACATCTTAAACTTTTCACTGAAAACTCTAAATGGAGTCTTGTGGTAGCTTGGGAAGGGTTCTTTGTAGTCAGGAATACATGCACACTCATGTACCCATAACTTTCTTGTGAGAGGTTTGAGTGTCGGTAAGCTACTGAGGCCCAATTTATTTTGTCTACAGGGAGGTTTGTTATGCCTATAATTTATTTCGCCCCCCACGCATTTACTGTTGCCTCTGCTGTGTTGTGGCATTGCATAATTGTCTGAATTGCTGTCGCTGCCACTGCTAGGTGCCATTGAAATCTACGTACAGTCATAACTTTTGCATGTTCACCTCTAAAAAACTTTAATACGTCTATAAATTAAACGTTGCTTTCTTATACTCTTTTTGCTGTGCATTTGGACAGAGGTCAGAACTGCTGCAGGTAAGAGCTGTTGGCATTCCATGGAGATAAAATGAAACGCCCGTGATTCTGATGCACAAATTTGCTAGCTAGAAAGCTAATAAAAATCAGAGAAATTTCTTCTTCAGTAACATAAAGTCAGAAGGAAAAACTAAGATAATGTTTCCATCTCAAATTTTCAGAGGAATTTTTTTGGGGGTGGGAGGAGAGATTGGGAAGGGGAAGCTTTGGAGGAGAGCCCAGGCCAGGAACTAAGACTGAGGAGTAGAAGACCTGTAGAAAAACATTCTTACATACTTCTCAGTAAAGCAGCATTTCATGCTAGTATTATTGCATTCATGCAGTTGGTTTTAGATAATGAATCCTTTCACTTAACTGCTAGGGTAATATTTAGGACCTTTGTTTATTTGGTAATGCTTCTGTTCCTTATTGCTCAGCTAAGACCACAAGTCTATAAGAATATCATTTGTTTCTTTTGCAAGACAATTTTTAGCTGTAGCTTCAGCAAACAGAAGCATCTGACTTTTGGAAGAACGCAGATCCATATTAACATGCAAATAAGTGAAATATTTTTAAGAATAACCATCAGTAAGAGATTGTTTATTTTATATCCTTTTACATTTTTCCTGATTCCTAACAACTATGTAAGAAATATGTAACTCTGTTATGTTTGTTCAGGGAACATACATAATTAAATATTATGTAAGACCCATGTATATTACACAGCGTTTGGCATATATAGATGTAGCCTGTTCATTGGTAGATTTTTCCAGGCTGCATTATATCACTTCTGTACCATTGAAATTTCAGCTTTGAGGCAAACCAAACCTGTAAATTATTTAATCCCAGATCTTAAGATGGATTTAAATGTAGCTACACAGTTTTATTGCTTGAGTGTTTTAAAAACCAGGCTCTGGCAGTTCATGAAATGTATGTCACTCTGATAAGAAAAAAATGTCTCGAGCGTTTAGAGCAGCAGCTCCTGAAAGTATATTTAGTCGTGTTTCATTCCCAACCTCTCTTTTTCTCCAGAAATGGTAAACAGATCTCATATGCCAAAAAGATTTCTCTGGGAGGTCCAGATTGATATACAGCATTTCTAGTGGTGGTATTAAATTTTTGAGAGGGAAAGGAGCATTTAGAAATGTTTTTTTAAAAGCCAGTTTTATATCATTTTCAAATTATTTCTATTTCTGTTATAACACAGGACTTCAGTCCTCGTGAAAATCCACAGACCAGTGGATGTTAGGCAAGCCTGTGGTTTTGTATTCCACTTTAACCATGGCTTCCTGTGGACCTGAGGGTGTCAATGCTCAGATTCGAGAAACACTTTTTATAAAGTGACTCTCCCAGAACTGATGATGCCTCTTATAGTACCTTACAGGTGGAGGTCACTGATCAGTTTATAGACCTCTTCAAGCACTCATATTTCATACCATTTATGGCAAGTTAAGTGATTGTCCAAAGCCACAGAACAAGCCTTTGATGATCCCAGGAGGTCAGTTTAAACTATAACCGATAACCTGGGTTGGTCTATTTAGATCAATTTCTTACTTCCAGGATTTAGGAGCAAGTAACTGAGCACTCATAGTATCATAAAATAAGGAAACTCAAAGCAATGGCGCCTTTCCATGCTGTGGTTAAATACGTTCATTTTTGTTTGTTTGCTTTTATAGATCCAAGAAAACATTCTTGGCCAAAGTCTAGGGGAAGTTACTGCCACTTTGTATTATACAAGGAAAACAAGGACACCATGGATGCTATTAATGTACTTTCCAAATTTTTAAGGTTAGTTTTTTTTTTATCTTTTTTAATGTACTATCAAAACGTGGCTGATTTTAAATTAAACTAACAATATGAAAGGACTGTGGTAGGGGCAGTCTGAAGAAATAGATAATAGAAAAGTCACTTCTATTTGGATTTGGAATGAAAACATTATAGCTTTTTTGAACAACACAGTCATGTGTGTATCAGTATAATATAATAGAAAAAAAAAAAGAGCATTGACTTTGGAGTTAAAGGACCTGCATTCAAATCCTGCCTCTGACTGACTACATTTGTGAGTTTGGGGAGGTCACTTAACCTCCATGGGCCTCAGTTCTTTCTTCTGTAAAAGGAAGAGCTGGACTAGATGACCTTCGAGGGCCATTTCATCTCTCGATCTGTGATCCTATAAACCTTCTTACTGCTTAAACTAGTAGAAAAATCGTTTGTGTTCATAGGGTCATAGGTTTGGAAAGGTCCTTAGGAGTCATCTAGTCTAGACTTCTTATTTTACAGACAAGGAAACTGACACCCAGGGATGTTAAATGACTTGCCCAAGATCGTACAATATATAGCAGATGCCAGATATTTGATATTAAAAACTTTGCCAGAAAATGGATAATCCACATATAGATAATTGAGAATTAACACACAGCTTATGACACAAATTAACCTCCCCCTAAAAAAAAATCTCTATTTAAATGACTCACATTGTAGAAATTTCATTTTACTATACACATAACTCTTGAATTTTTTGCTGATTCCATTCCTGAAAAAGTTAAAATTGATTCTCACCTAGAAGCAATATTAGAGCATAATTAAAAACATTCTTTAAAGAAATAAAGAATGACTTTAATAGTTGGAGGGGGTAGTCATTGTTCATGGTTGAGCTCTGTAAATATAATTAAAAAGATGCTAGTTAATTTACAAATTTAGTATCAGCAATGAAATTACTAAGGGGATACTTTTTTTTCTTTTTTTATTTATTATTTTATTTTTCCCCAGTTATATGTAAAAACAATTTTTAACATTTGTTTTTAAAGCTTTGAGTTCCAAATTCTCTCCCTTTTCCCCTCCCTATCCCCCTCATTGAGAAGGCAAGCAATTTGGTATAGGTTATACATGTGTAGTCATGCACAACATGTCCACAATAGTTATGTTGTAAAAGAAAACATAGAAAAACATTTTCAAGAAAAACAAAGTTAAAAAAAGTATGCTTCAATCTGTATTGAGACACCATCAGTTCTTTCTCTGAGGATGGATAACATTTTCCATCATAAGTCCTTCAGAATTGTCTTAAATCATTGTATTGCTGAGAATAGCTAAGTCATTCACAGCTGATCATCTTTTATTATTGCTTTTACTTTGTACACAGTACATTTCACTTTGCATTAGCCCATGCAAGTCTTTCCAGGTTTTTCTGAGAGCATCCTGCTTATCATTTCTTATAGTATAATAGTATTCCATCATCATCACATACCACAACCTGTTTAGCCATTCCCCAGTGGATGGCCCTCCCCTCAATTTCTAATTCTTTGCCCCCATTTGAGGGGGCAAAGAATTTGAAATTGAAGGAATACTTTTTAGAACTACAGATATAAAAAATAATAACAAGATTAATTTTAGAAATAAAAGATCTAGAATTTCAAGGGAGGAATCACAGTTGTGATAATTATTGCTTTATAATATCTCATTTGGTATTGATTGTAAAAAATAGAAAAGTAGATCAGTGGAACAGACTGTATATGGAAGAATCGGATACATCTGGACTAAATAATTTGTTGTGTGATAAACCTTAAAACATAATTTACTTCAGGAAGACCTTCTTATTTGACAAGAATTGCTGAAAGTATGGTAAAGCAGTTTGGCACAATTTGGGTTTAGACCAACACCTTACGGAGAAACTCTAGCAAATTTTATACAGTGGATAGAGGAACAGAATAGAAAAGGTCAAACCCTACAAAATTAGAAGTACTTTCATACCTATGTCCGGAGAAAAAGTTGTTAACCCAAGTAGGGATAGAGGCAGTTATGAAAGATAAAATAGATAATTTCACTTACATAAAATTGAAAAGCCTTTGCATGAATAAAGTCAATACAATTTAATATAAAAAGGTAGCTACTGATTAGCAAAAAAGCTTTGTAACATATCTCTGTTAAGAGTCTGATGCCTGGCCTGTAGAGAGAACTAACATGAATGAATATTCTCTTCTCAGCAGAAGAATTCCAAACTATTATACGTTATATGAAACATAGCTCCAAATCACTAAGAATGAGAGAATTTCAGATTAAAACAGCACTGAGGTTTCACCTCATACCAGACAAATTGGCAAAGGGGAAAGTCATTGTTGGAATGGCTGTGAAGAGAGAGGCACACGAATACTGTCAGTAGAGTTGTGAACTGGTCCAACCAGTCTGGAGAGCAATTTGGAATCTGACCCAGAGATCCCACTGCTAGAAATCAGAGAAAGAAGGAATGGTCTTACATTCGTAGCAGCTTTTTTTTTGTGGTAACAAAGAACTAGAAACAGTGTAGGTGTCCATCAATTGACTGGACAATGATTAAACAAATTGTAAAATGTATGCATATAATTTCAGATCGTTATTATTAGCATGAATATTGGTTATTTAACTTATTTTTTGTTTGTTTTTCATCAGAGTTAAACCAAACATATTTTCCTACATGGGAACCAAAGACAAAAGGGCTATAACTGTTCAAGAGATTGCTGTTCTTAAGTAAGTATAGATTAATGGTGCTTATATTTTTGTGGTAAATAATCACTTAAATGTAGACTACTTGATTCTTTTTTCAGATTTAACCTCTGCTGTTGTTCTGTAATTTTCCTTTACTCTCTCATTGATTTACTCTCATATTTTGTGTTGTTTGAGTGATATGTCTTTACATACAGGCTTCTTAGAGTCCTTTTATAGTTTTCTGTTTCTTTTCCCTTTTCCCTCCCCTTTCACTTATTCCAAAGGAATTCTTCCTGGGCTTTGAATTTAGATTTCCTCCTGGCTTTCCTTTGTCCAGGGGGCAGCCCCATTCTCTCTTCTTGGCAGCAGGAAAGGGATGTTGGCTGATGTTCTGCATAGCTGCTGCCACTGTTGGCATAAATTATGATTCTTGGCCCTTAAGGAGCAAAAAAAGAAAAGAAAAAAAAAAGAAAAGGTTCCCTCTACTCTTAATTAATTATAAAATAAATCAGCCTTCTTCATATCTCATTAAAAAAATTGAAGCAATTCATCGAGAGCTCCCTCTTCTCCCTTTTCCATTTAGCGTCCGTCCTCTGACATCATCCCCCTGTTACTTCCTCAATCCCTCCAGTCTCTAGTGAAGAGGTGGCCCTTCTCCTTGCCTAGGTCAACCCCTCTACTTGCCGTTATCACCTCTCATCTGGATTATTGGAGTAATTGCTCTCCCAGCCTCAAGTCTCTCCCCTTTCCAATCCATCCTTCCTCCACATAGATGCCAACGCTATTTTCTCAAGCATAGGTCTGACCATGAACAATCTCTTCCACCTCCTCTCTTGTTCATTCTTCATTCTGAAAGAGGACCAGTGATATCACAAGAGTGACATCTTGACTTGCTTGTGAATTGGATTTAAGTGAGTCAGAGCTACACAAAGTCTTCTCCAGAGACATGGAAGTCCAAGATAAGATGATTGGTGATGGCCTGGGATGTAGTGGGTGACCTTGGACTTACTGAGATCTGGGAAACACCCCTCCCCAGTAAACTCCAGTGCTTCCTCGGGGAACAAATATAAACTCCCGTTTGGAATATAAAACTCCAACCTGGTCTTTTCTTATCTTTCCTGTATTTTTACACATTGATTCCCTTTCATGTATTTACAGTCCAACCATACTCTTCCTTACACATATTTCCATCTCCATGCCTCTCTGTTGACATTTTTCCATGCCTCGAAGGCCCTCTCTCCTCACTCCTGCCTCTTAGAATCTGTTTCCTTCAAGATTCAGCTCAGTTGCCACCTTCTCTAGGATACCCTATGTCTTCTCCCAGTTGCTGCTGCCTTCTTTTCTTATGTACCTTCTCCTCTATATATGTCTTGTATATACCTATTGACCACCTCATTAGAATGTAAGCTTCTTGTGGGCAAGGACTTTTTTGCTTTTTTTCTTTATATGCTAGCACAGTGCATAGTGCTTGGCACATAGGAAGTGCTTAGTAAATGTTGGTTGACTGATTGATCTCCAAAAAAGAGGCCCATCTTCCTTTGTGGACTCTTGTGCAGCACAGAGACTATTAGCGTATTATGGTGCTAACCATAAGAGAACCCTTGCAACAAATGCAAGAACTTTGAATGGTAAAGCAAATCAAATTCCCACATTGCCCAAGTCCAAAAAAAAAAATGTCCCAGTCTTCACCCTAAGTCCATCATTTGTCTGTCAGAAGGTGGGCATTGTGTTTCCTTCCTTGTGAAACATGGAATCATGGAACTTCTGGAATCATGGTTGGTCATTGCATTGGTAGAGTTATTAAGACTGTCAGAATTGTTTGTTTTACAACGTTGGTATTGTATAAATAGTTCTGGTTTGGTTTTCTTTGCTTTGTGTCAAATCATACAAATCTTCACAATCAACCTGTGTCTCTTAAACTCATGAGAGAGTCTGACCTATTACGTAATCATAACTCTTTTTTTTTTTATGAGTATTGGCAGAAGAAAGTTGTGGGGAAACTTTGAGCAGAGAAAGGGAAGTTTTACCATATAAATACCAAACTGCTAGTAATATACATTTTTTCAGCAATTTGCATAATCCTGTGTCCTTATAATTAGGGAGAAGGGTTAAAATCTTGGTCCCTATACTTTTCTTGAACCCAGAGGCAGCCAGGTGGCTCAGTGGATAGAGCTCTAGGCCTGAGATCAGAAAGACCTACATCTAAATCCAGACTCAGACATTTACTAGCTGTGTGACACCCTGGGCAAGTCACTTAATACTGTTTACCTCAATTTCCTCATCTGTAAAATGAGCTGGAGAAGGAAATGGCATTCCAGTATCTTTGCCAAGAAAACCCCAAATGGAGTCATGAAGAGTCAGACATGACTAAAACAACTGAACAACAGCATCATACTTAGGGTTAGATTTTACATGTTACATATTGACAAATTCTTATTACAAATTTCATAATTTTTTGGTGTGAAATGTTGAGATTAGGGCCCTTCGAGCATGGTTCTACATACTTTCATGAGTCTACTTCTGTTTTCCCATCTGCCTTTTTAAGCTTTCCTGACTCCATATTAGAGCTTTGGAAGCAGAATTAGACATCTACAAAATCAAGAAAACATATCTAATAAAACATCTTCTGAGATCTGTGCCCTCAGATCGAGTTGGGACATTGCTGCACCTGCTATCGTGAGCCATCAGGAGTAAATACCAGTTTGAAAAAACTGACTTGGTTAGATTAGACATTGGCAAATAATGAAGTATTTTCTTTGTTGTCGTTTTACTTCAATTTTAATTTTTTTTATTATTCTGAACTTGACAGTCGTCAACAAACATGAGCATTTCCACCTGCACAGAACAGAAACAGAGGATTGTATGTGAAACCAGAAATCTCTGTAATACACAGCTTGCATAATTTTCAACAATATAATAAATTAAATATTCTTGTTTCAGAAGTATCTGGCTTGATCCCTTTTGAACCTCTTACTGTCTTTTGTGTGATTTTTTTTTTTAATGCTACAGTGACCTTCCATTTCTTCTTTATTTTTGGCATCTCTGTCTCTTGTCTTCCCCCCCCCCAAAATTCCCACCAAGCTATAGTGAAGCAAAACAAATCCATACATTGAACATGTTCAAAAACGTATATCAAATTTACCCCTCAAGTCTCCCAGCTGTCTGTCAGACAGTAGATATCATGCATTATCACTGGTCCTCTGGAGTTACAGTTGGTCATTAAAATATATTCTTTATAAAAAGAAATAAACGAATCATTTTCTTTCACATGTTCTCCAGTCCTGACAGGCTGTGCCTTAAAATAATCCCCCAAATAGTTTTCTAAATGATCCATCATTCTTTTCCAGTATATAGCTGAAGTCCAAGGTTTTAAGTACAAACAACATGACTAATTAAGTCTCATAGGCTGTAGGTATGAGTGCAGGAAGGTTTATATGCCAAATAAAAATGTGACCTCTCTGCATTTCTATGCTGCTCTTCCTTTTTTAGTGGCTATGATCACATTGGTTAGGCCTCAGTTCCCCATCATCTGCCCATGACCTAGAATTTCCTAATGAAACAAAGACATTCTCTTTGCCTTTCTCTTTTTAGAATAACTGCGCAAAGACTTGCCCATTTGAACAAGTGCTTAATGAACTTCAAGCTGGGCAACTTCAGCTACCAGAAAAACCCTCTGAAGTTGGGAGAACTCCAAGGAAATCAGTTCACTGTTGTCCTCAGGTAAAAAGCTCTTGTCGGGAGGAAGAGAGATCCTCGCTTGGTTATTTACCTGGTCGGTGTGTTGAATGAATGATAGAGAAAAAAGACTCATATTTAGGTTAACTTGTACAAAGAGATTCAAGGAGGAAAAAGGAATAATAAGGAGGGAAATGACCCAGAAAGGTTATTGCTATTTTAAAAATTGTCATTATACCTTTCCTCTAAAAAAGCAAACAGAGAATTTCAATAGAAATTGTAGTTCCTGTTACAAAATTTAGAAATATATAACATATTCTTAACAATGTATTAAGTAAGGAGGGAGTCAAAATAAAAAGAAAGGAATTGAAGGAAAGGAGAGGAATAGTGACCAAATCAGAATCATTTTATGGTGAACTAATCTTGCAACTGTTCATGGAATAAAACTTTCTTTGGGTGATTCATATCCTTGCAGAAATATAACAGGAACTGACCATCAAGTACAGCAAGCAATGAACTCTCTCAAGGAAATTGGATTCATTAACTACTATGGGATGCAGCGTTTTGGGACTACAGCTGTCCCCACATATCAGGTTGGAAGGTCTGTGTTTAATTAATATTCTTTGTTTCCCATTGTTTATCTTAAAAAATATCTTGTTGCAAAATCTGTTTTAATGTCCTTTTGGAAAATAGTAGTAGAAAGAGGAGATGGTAGAAGCTTCTGATGTTTCCATGGGTCTGTTTCTTGTTTGCCACGTCACGTGGGGCACATCATTTAACTGTTTGATCTTTTGGAGCCTGATCTTGAATAAGGTTCTCATTTGTCTCTTTTGTTTTTTTGCCTCTTAGCCCACATGCTCTTATCAAATGATTCCCAACTATCTCAGAATTTTGACAAATCTTTCCTTTTCCTCCTCCCCTTCCCTAAAAGTGTTATATGGAATACATGTATTTTTTAAATAAAAAATAAATCAGAATTTATTTTTAGGTGCTGAAGATGTTAAAAAAAATTAATTATTTTTAAAGCATTCCTTTTTTACATTTTGAGTTTCAAAATCTCTCCCTCCCTATAGCCCCTCTCCTGCCCATTGAGAAAGTAAGCAATATGATACCTGTTATACATGCAAAGTCATGCAAAACATATTTCCATATTAGCCATGTTGCAAAAAAAGTAAAAAAAAAAAGTGAAAAAATATGCTTCACTCTATACTCAGAGTTCATTAATTCTCTAATGGAGGTGGATTGCATATTTCATGAGTCCTTTGGAATTATCATGGATCATTGTATTGATCATTGTACTTTAGTTAGTTCATCATTACAGTATTGCTGTTGCTGTCTATAATATTCTCCTGGTTCTTCTCACTATAAATCTTCCCAGGTGTTTCTGAAACTATATCCTTCATCATTCTTTATAGCAGACTAGTATTTTATCACAGTCATGTTCACCCAGCCATTCCCCAGCTGATTTAGAATTATTTGCCACCACAGAGAAGAGTTGCTATAAATATTCTTGTACTTATAGGACCCATCCCTTTTTCTTTGCTCTTTTTGGAATACAGACCTAGTAGTGGTATTGCTGGGTCAAAGGGTATGGACAATTTTATAGCCCTTTGGGCATAGTTCCAAATTGCTCTCCAGAATGGTAAGACTGGTTCACAACTCCATCAATAGTGCATCTGTTTTTCCACATCCGCTCTAGCATTTGTCATTTTCCTTTTTTGTCATGTTAGACACTCTGGTAAGTATGAGGTGGTTTCTCAGAGTTGTTTTAAATTGCATTTCTCTAATCAATAGTGATTTAGAGCATTTTTTGGTACGATTATTGATAGCTTTGGTTGCTTCTTCTGTAAACTGCCTGTTAATATCCTTTGACCATTTATCATCTGGGGAATAGCTATTTAGGAATTTTTGAAATAATTTTTGACAACTAAGAGTATAACAAGACCAAGATTGGGAATCCTTTTTATACTTTGACTCATGATTCTTTTTAGTAAAAAAAAAAAATGAGAATAATACAGTACATGGGACAGCTATTTAAAATCACAGAATTTTAAAACTGGAAGGGACGTCTTACAGCCTTTTAACATTTTAAAAAATTAACTTTAAAAAAAACTATTAAGCATTATTTTTTCTTCCTTTTACCCACCCCCCCCAAAAAAGAAAAAAAATCTTTATAACAAATATGCATAGTTAGGCAAAACAAAATCTCATATTGACCATATCGAAAAAAGTATGTCCCATTCTGCATGGTTAGTTTATCACCTCTCTGTCAGGGAATGCGTAAACATACTTCATCATGGGTCCTCTATAATCATCACAGGTCACTGCATTAATCAGAGCTCTTAAGTCTTTCAAAATTCATTTTTATAACATTGTTATGGTATAAATTGTTCTCCTGGTTCTGCTTGCTTCATGCTGCATCATTTCATACAAATCTTCCAAGGTTTTTTCTCTGAAGCTATCCTCTTTCATAATTTCTTAAAGCACAATAGTATCCCATTACATTGTGTACATAATTTATTCAACGATTTTCCAACTAATGTGTCTCTCCTTAGTTTCTAATTCTTTGCTACTACAAAAAGAGCTGCTCTAAATATTTTTGTCCACATAGCACAAAATTTGTCTTTTTACTTTTTTTTTTTTCTCTCTTCAGGTTTATAGGCCTAATAATGTTATTGTTAGGTGTAAGGGTAGCCTTTTCACTCTAGAAAAAGAGCTAGTTAGTAACAGAGGTAGGATTTAAGCCCACATCTCTTCACACCCAGTCACAGGTGCTTGAGAAGTTAAGATGTGGAATACAGTTTTTTATTTTGGTTGTGAAAACACAAAAATCTGGCTTTAAAGGTCCTTAGTGGCAATATATTAAAGACATGTAGGTAGTCATTCTTTCTCATGAAGTTTATTCAACATAAGTATAGAATGAATTGAAACAGACTAGGAGGGTGCAGGGATTACTGAAAAGGAATTTTTGAAACATGTACTGAAATGTCAGAGCACACTAATAAGAAAAAGTGGAGGTGGTGATTTTTTTAAGAAAAAGAAAATTTGCGAGAAAGCTGTTTTCAGCCTTTAATTTAATGACTAATTTTCCAGAAAGGAGTTATGTTACTTTGCATATTCTGTAGACCTCTTTAATGAGAACGAAGTAAATGTCAAAAAATCATAGCTACATCACCAGGGATTTATTTATTAGAAGAAATAAGTTTAATAGTATGTTTTAACGTTAAAAATTATTTTTACAAGTAACTGGGGGAAAATAAAAGCTTAAAAGTAATTTTAAAAAACAGTATGTCTTAGGGTCAGCACTGATTCATCCCATTTATCCAGAACATTTTATATAGCTACTGATGCCAGATAATTGCAAGGCATGCTATAAATGTGTTTTAACATTTTAAATCTATGATGCACCAATTAGGGCTAAGCCAAGTATAAAAGCTAAACGGCTAGAACCATTTCTTCCTTTATTTTATCCTTTTACATTTTTTGTTAGAATCTGTCATTACATATTTATCCTTTATCATACTGTTACGTATTATAACAAAGGAAGTAAAATACCTTGACACACATAATCTGAATGCAAAGAAATTTATTATAATACAAAATTTAGTAAAGTAAATGATCTGCTCAATTTCAGAGCCATCTTACAAAACTGCTGGGATGAAGTCGTAGATTTAATATTGAAACCTCGTCCTGGAGGTAAGGCATTTTTGCAAATGAGTTTTTTTGTTTCTTATTTTAAAAAACAACTTTATTTCATTATAGATCTATTTATGTAAATATTACAATTCGTAGTTAAAATGAAAAGATCCATGATTTTATACTGTTTCTGTTATCACAGAGTGTAGTCCTTCTGAGACTTAGCAAATGATCTCCAAAAGTTGCTGTGGCCAAATGGGTGATGAACCTCTCCAAACTTATCCAGGCTGGTCTGTAGGTGACAGACAAAGGTAGTTTGTCACTGGAGTTGTGCCATGGAAACATTTCCAGCTTGGTTAGGACTTCCCAGAGTTCACACTCAACTGGCCTAACCTTTGAGGGGTCACCTCCATGCCATGATGATGTTTTAGAGTAGGACTTTTGTGTAAGAGTTCATGGTTTGCTATAAAATACTGTTGAGTCCATCTCCTTTTAACCATATGCTGTGTAGGAGAACTTTGATAGTATTGAGATCCTCACATCCAATTAGGCTGACTGGCGCCATCTTAATCAAGAGCCAGTGATTGTGGAAAACAGCCCCTTTTGGTTGTGTATATACCTTGTTCTTTTTATGGAATTCCTTAAGGGACCTTGGAGATACTTCCCAGACTCGGGTCAGATCCCTTACCTCGGTCAGCAACTTTTCCTGACCCTTCTATGACTTCTCTGATTCTTGACCTTCTCTCCACCTTCTCTTCCATGGGTTATAGACAAGACACCTGGAATTTACTTGAGAAGTCCTTGGGTACTGTAGTGTGCGTGCTCATTGGCCAAATCATGATGGCCGTTTGGGCCAAGGTCTCGAACAATGTGATAGAGGCTTTATGCAGTGGTCACTTCATGTGGTCCCTTGCTTTCAGAAGGTCCAGTTTGTTTTAGTTCTTAGCACAATGGTATGCTCATTTGGGAGAGTTTCATCAAGTTCAGTGCTAATGAACTTGAAGGCCTGCTCTCTGAGAAATATTTCATCCCTTTTGGTTTGGGAATTAAATAGATCTCTAGGGGCAGCTAGGTGGCGCAGTGGATAGAGCACCCGCCCTGGATTCAGGAGGACCTGAGTTCAAATCGGCCTTAGACACATATCACTTAACTAGCTGTGTGACCTTGGGCGGGTCACTTAACCCCATTGCCTAGCAAAAAAAAAAAAAAAAAAGTAGATCTCTAGCCAAGGACCCTCGGACAAATTTCACCAACATTCTAGACATCATGAACGGTGTCAGCTGTGACACCTGCCTGTCCCTTTTCAGGCACAAAGAAATATCTGTTTCTAAGAACAACAAAAAATATTAGAATCAATAGATCAGTTCACAAATATTTATTAAAAATACGGAGAAACTTCATTCTTTTGATTCCTTATGGTTCTATAAAGCCTGGGGATTTATTTTAAAGAATACTTTAAAATATTTTCGTAAAAAAATTTCCCTACAAATTTTACTTTGTAAAAAAGATTAAATTTACAGTTACGTTGACAGTGCTAACATTTTTGCTAATTGTGTAGTACTGGTCTAAAGAAAATGGAAAAGCACTGAATTTGGAATGATAAGAACTTGTCTGAGTTACAATTCTGGCTCTGCTACTTGCTACCTATGTAAGCGTGGTCAGATTTTAATCTTTCTGGACCTTACTTTCCTCGTTTGTAAAATGAAAGGGTTAGACTAGAAAACATCTAAGGCCTCTTTGAATTTTAGGCATAGATCCCATGATGGATGGCTTAGTCACTTTATTAGAAGAAAACTTGCCCTATAAGTTTAGTAGTACTGGATTAAAAGAGCAGAGAGAAAAGAAAAAGCAAACATCCCTGTTTATTCAGTTAGGATATGAGTACCACCTTGTTTTAGCTCTCAGCACAGTGGTCTGCTCAGTCACTTAAAATCCATATGTACTCTTCCTTTTACTAGTCCTGTAAAATGGGTCCACAGGACTCAGTTTTTGGTTGGAATTCCCAAATATTTATTTTGTGATGAGCATTTTATTTTAAGATTTAAAAGATTCAAAAAAATTTAAAAAAAAGATTTAGAAGGATTCATATGGATTAAGTTGTTTACTGCTTACTTGTTTTTGCAGCCGAAAAGGGGTACTTGGTCAAATGCCGAGAAGAGTGGGCCAAGACCAAAGATCCTGATGCAGCCCTCAAAAAACTACCTGTCAAAAGGTGTGTGGAAGGGCAGCTGCTTCGAGGACTTTCAAAATATGGACTGAAGAATATTGTGTCTGCATTTGGCATAGTGAGTGTGATTTGTGAAGTTAGGCAATGACTTTAAGAGGTGTAACAAATCTTTTAGGTGCTGACCATCAGAGTTGTTTTTTTTTTGTTTGTTTTTGTTTTGGGGGGTTTGGGGCGGGGTTTATGGGCAAGAGGTAAAGAAGAAAAAGTCACTCGGGAGGTAAATTTATATAATTTATTTTTAGTCATAAAATAAAATGGATAAAATTATTTTAATTCAATTCAGTAAGCACTTTAGGAATATCTACTGTATATAATGTAGTGTGCTAGGAACTTGGTATATAGAGGCTAAAAATAGTACTGTTTGGCTTCAAGAGACTTACAGTATGGAAAAGCAGTCTATACTAATGGACATTTTACAGCTGATTAATTTCATATGCTTTCTACTGTTAGATAGACTTTCTTGGTAGTTTAGAAAATAAAAAGTTGTAGAATCCAGACCTTCTATCATTCAGGGAATGGCTCACAGGCATTTGTGTTTCCTTTGTTAGAACAAGAAAAGAGGAGAGGCTCTTGGTAAACTAAAAAGATGCGCCTGAAACTAAACAAATTTACATTTGTCATGAGTGAAACTGAAGGCATATTTTTGCCATCTTCTTGCTTTCCATGTTAAGCATCTGCTAAAATCGTGATAGCTTTATGAGATGAACTTCACCTGACATTTAGATCTCTAATCCACACTAGATTTATTTGAGTGGTGGTGTCTTTTTTTCCCTGCATGGTAAACAGAAAGCCATTTGGTTGCCTCATTGAACTCATTATTAGTGAAATTGCTTGTATTTTTGGAACATCTTAGAATGTGGTGATGAAAGCCCTGTTAGGTTTGCCATACATTTACAAATTCTTTTTCTTAAAATCACTAAATTAAAATTAAAATAAATAAAAATTTTTAAAAATCACTGTAGTCTTTGGTATATTTGAATGTAACCAACAAACAATTCATCAGCCTTATCATTAGCTGATGAAAATGACTGTTGTACAATTTCAGCTTTGCTACATCTCCATCTGTAAAAAGAATATTAATGTTAATTGTTTGTAGACTTCTATAGATGTGCGAATCAGGGATTTGGGAATTTTTTTGCAGCCTGAAATGTAAGAGTTTAGTATATAAAGGAACAGCAAGCAATAAACAATAGTCACAATCATCTCTCAAAAGTTCTTAATCTATAGTCTATGAACTTGTTTCTTTAAAATATTCTGGTAACTACTTCAGGATAATAGGTTTACTTTTAAGCTTATGAATTTATATTTTATGCACTTAAATACATTTTTCTGAGACAGGGTCCCTAAACTTCACCAGTTTGTCAGAGGGGTCCATGACAAAAAAAGTTTAAGAACCCTTAAGATGATTTGAAAGATGCCTTCCATGTCTGATTTCTTCACTCATTTTTGTTGACTTTGCTGATTTTTGCTGATTTCTTCCTCTCTACAGATACCAAGAAATAACCGTTTGATGTATATTCATAGTTATCAGAGTTATGTGTGGAATAACATGGTGAGCAAGAGAATTGAAGAGTATGGACTGAAGCCTGTTCCAGGGGATCTCGTACTTAAAGGAGGTAAAAAGGCAAAGTTGTCAGCCTCAGTCTTTTGCTCCTGGCCTTGGAATATACTGTTGCTAGGTTACCACTAAATAGCTTCAAGGTTAGCCTGGCAACTGAGTTGAGGAGGCATGTGTCTGGTATTTAAAAACATGAAGTCTGATGGGCTGCAAACTATTTTATCCAGTGCAGGTTTGTGTGAGGATCTTAAAACACTTTTCTGCTATTTGGGCACTTGGAGTTTTCCCAACAACTGTGGCACAGTCTCTAGTTCTAGCCTGTGGTTCTAGATTTGGCTTATAGACTAGCTCAGGCTGGAGCATTCCCTTCACGTTGCTCCTCTCATGATGACCACGTGTATGTGAGGCAGCAGAAATCTCTGATCTGCACAGCGTCAGACAACCCCTTTCTGTTAAGATAAAAATTTCATCTCCAAATAACTAGTAAAGAGCCAAATTTTAAGCCCTACTCAATGAAGTGATTTATTCTCATGAAAAATTATTTTAGAATGTGGAGGTAGGTCCTTACTTGATCCTTTTAAGACAAACTGACTTTCCTTTAGCCCCTGTTCTCCTCCCCCATTGCATTCATCTCTTACAGCTTTACATATAGGGTCCTTTAATTTTATTATTTATTTATTATCAAACTTTGTTTTAATGATTTCAGAATTCTTTGACAGATTTTTGGTCAGCTTGATTCCATTTCAAAATTTCTGATTTAAATCTCCAAAGGAGATTTCCAATGGAAAATGCTATCTACATCCAAAGAAAGAACTATGGAGTTGGAATGCAGATCGAAGCATACTATTTGCTATTTTTTTCTTTTGTTTTGTTTTCTCTTTCTTGTGGTTCCTCCTATTGGTTCTGATTCTTCCTTACAACATCACTAATGTGAAAATATGTTTAATAGGAATGTATATGTATAGCCTTTATCAGGTTGTGTGCCATCTTGGGGAGGGAGGGGGAGAAAAATTTAAAACTCAAAAGCTTATGGAAGTGATTGTTGGTAAAATAATTTTTAAAAATTGCTGATTTAAAAAACCAGTCATTTAAAACCACCATTAAACAAACGCCACAAAAACATTCCTTTCCTCTGAAAGCTTTTATAATGCCTTGTAATCATTAACCAGTGTCCAGATGGGTTCTTTTCAAAAAAGAAAAAGAAAAGTAGCTCTGATCTTCTTTCTTAAAACACCCTTTCCCGAGCTTACCCTTAAGATAGCTAATTTCAGAAGTCTGAGATGCGAATATTTCTTGTATGCTTAAATTATTACATATTTATGAACTTGCAGCTACAGCCACATACATTGAGGAAGCAGATGTTAATTCCTACTCCATCCACGATGTGGTGATGCCTTTACCTGGTTTTGATGTTCTCTACCCTAAGCATAAAAGTAAGCTTCTCTTTTGGTTTTTGGGTTTTGGTTTTTTTTTTTGCTAGGCAGTGGGGTTAAGTGACTTGCCCAGGGTCACACAGCTAGTAAGTATCAAGTGTCTGAGGCCAGATTTGAACTTAGGTCCTCTTGACTCCAGAGCTGGCGCTCTATCCACTGCGCCACATAGCTGCCCCTTTTGTTTCATTTTTAAGAAATTAAAAATAGGTGTTTTGAGATAATTAGGCTCTCTTAGTTCTTAGCCGCTTGCCGAATTTTCCGAAGCTAAGGGGGAAGGGCAAAAGAAATTCACTTGCTTTAGTTTTTCAACTTTAATATGCTGATTTGGGAACCCAGATTAGTAATCTCTTCCAAACTCAAGCAGATGTAAAATAACATTGTTTACAAAGCTACTAAATAAATATTTGTTGGAATGAGTGAAGTATTTATCAAGCACTAGCATGTACACAAAGCCTCTTTGTGACCTTTATGTTACAGATTCACTTTTCAGTTAGTTAAATAAAGTTAATCAGGAACTAGCTAATGTAGATTTTCTTATCCTTGTAGTTTACCAGAGTAGATTAAGAGTAGGAAAATTTATTATTTTTTAAAAAGTAATTATTAAGGACTAAGCCAAATAATCCTCATGTGACTTTCTTTAATATATGTTTCCAGGAATTTTTTTTAAGGGCAGAAAGAATTATCATGTGATAGCCTGGGGCCTCTGCTGAAAGGTGAATTAAAGTCAACAAAATATGCCTTTATTTACAAATAAAGTGCTCCCCTAACCCATTCCTCTCTAGAATTCATTCATTCCTTTATAAATATTCATTAAGTAACTGCTATGTACCAGGCACTGTGCTAAGTGCTGGGGATGCAAAAAGAGGCAGAGACAGTCTCTGCCCTCAAGGAACTCACAATCTAATTGCAGAGATGACATACAAACCAAGCTATGTACAGGATAAATAGGGAATTATTAAAAGAGAGGGAATTAATGTAGAAATCTGAACATGTTACTTCTAAGAGTCAATATGTTATAACTACCTCATTGGTTCCCAGTGTTTCCTGTTCAGTGAATCCTTGGGAATATTTAACATGACGCTCATAATAATTGTGTAATAATTTGCTGCTTTAAGTGTTATTAAAGAATTTTTAGCATGAACCCCTTGGACCATCGGTGAAAAAACCCCAACCACTAAATGAGAACCATTGATCTACTTTAATCCTTTACCCCACAGGCTTAGTATATGACAACTGAAGTGCCACAGAAGTATTTGGAGTTCTTGGAAATAGGATTTGATCTGCAAGGGCATAGCTGAATTTCAGTCCTAAAAACCTCAACCTCCAGCCCTGGTGCTATGTGTTTTGAATTTCCTTGTCCCTTCTATAATTCCATTAACACCAAAGGAAAAGAGTTTTTTGTTTTGTTTTTTTTTAAAAAGGAAATTGAACAAAATATTGAGTAACTATTGTTCCCCAAAACAATACAAATGACCCAGGAATTTATACTTGGCAGTTTCACTGCTGGGGGGTTCTGCTAGCATATACGGGGTATTCCAGAAGTCTTAATGCTGCTAAAGATTGAAACTGCACCAAGACTTCTGGGATACCCCATATAGTGATAGAAGATGAATGAAACATGACTGTTCACTATATTCCAGAGTACATATTCCCTACTCCTAATGGAAGTTGTCTTCTTTTGCTATTGATTATGCTGTTATAATATCCTCAAGAATCGTTCTCTGTAAACTATCAATTTTATAAATGCCATTTAAATGATTGAAATAACAGTCACAAGCTAAATGCTGCTTTGGTTTCAAGGTCAGAAAGTCTTACTTATACTTCTGATTATGCAGAAAAGCCTCTCCCTCGCCCCTCCATGACCACAAGGTACTCTAGTTTAAAAAAAGACCAAAGGCTTGTTTGACAGCCCTTCCATGTTTCTTCTAATGGATTTTGTCTAATCTACCTTCAGACTAGAAGGGGAGCAGAGGAAAAGGTGGTGATCAGCTTCCTCCTCACTGTGTTTGCTGGGTCCCAGTATTGGCTTTTTGATAGCACTGCTGGATTTTTTAGTCTGGAGGATGTGGACCTGCCAGGATGTGCATAGGGAATCAGATATATCAGTGGTATCTTACTAGGCCCAAATACATAGCTATTCTAAACCTGGTTGAGAGGCAGTGTGCTCTAGGGGATAGAGAGTTGGTCTAGAAACCAGCAATACCTGGGTTCAAGCCCCAGCTCTGTCTAGCATAGACTGACTCAGAAGTCATCTAGTTTAACCTACATGTGGATGAGAAAATGTGTTCTAATTTCAGAAAATTAATCAATAACATATTTTGGAATATAAACCAATAATAAGCTTTTTATTCTTCTTGCTTTGGGATGGTGCAATTCTAGGAGTTCTCATTCTGGTAGTTTGAAGATACATTTTTATGCAATGCTAAGAATATGTTAGTATTTACAACATGAGATGGATTTTGTCCGAAGAGGAGGGGGTCCAACGAAACTTATTTTTAATCCTTCACATGCTGGTTTAACATGTTACTCTACATTCCATTTAATTCTTTTTTGTTCTGCTTTAGTTAGTGAGACTTATAAGGAAATGCTAGCTGCCGACCATCTAAAGATTGACAACATGAAACATAAAATCCGAGATTATTCCTTATCAGGTGCCTACCGAAAGATCATTATTCGCCCTCAGAATGTCAGCTGGTGAGTAATATTTTGGAGTCGAATGGATTTGAATTGTGTCCACTCTGTAATGTTGACAATACTTAGAAGAATTTTTCATATTTTTGTGATTTAATGTTTCTACATAAATCTAGAAACAAATAAACTCATTTAGAATGCCAGACAGATACAAAGAAGACTTACTTAATGGTAGAATAACATTATTAAATTATATATAAGACATGTACAGAGCATAAAGTCTTTCCCTGCTGTGGAAAACCTAAGTTTGATTTAATAGTTTATAAGAAAAAGAATCCTCTTATTCCAAATTGGCTGAAACAGTTTTAAGAATTCATCTAGTACTTTTCATGTCAGATACCCTGTGGGTGGAAAGGGACAGACAGACAGGAAGAAAATGTCTTTTGTATTTTAATCCATTTAAAAATACTTAAATGTCTGTCATTGTCAAAAACTTTATTTCTAGTAATCAACATATTGAAATCTTGAATTTCTAATTTCCAGGTCACTAGAAATTTGAGATTGACTAGGTGGAATAAAGCAGATTTCATACTTTTTCCAGTGGCTATTTTTCTTCTACTCTCTCCATATTGCCTATTGAAGGTTTCAGGTCAAAGACCTAATATTAATGTCCAGATCATGCCGCTGTTCAATGCCTACTTCCTCCTGTGCTGTTTCAGAGAGAGGTACTCTCCAGTGAGGTTTTTCTCCTAGTGAAGAAAATCTAAAATGCCTAGGTTAAATTTTATCTCAGCCATTTAAAAATGAAGCAGGTATATCTTGGTAATTAAGTAACGTGATCTAGACGCAAGAACTTGCAACCTGGAGGGATATTTTATGTCTTATAACATAGATTTCCATAGACTGGTCCCCATGAGACGGGACAGAGAGGCAGGAAGACTACCTTTTGTATCTTAATCCATTTTAAAATACTTTAATGCCTGTCATTATCCAGCCAGTTGTTTAATGGAGGTATATTTGAAACTTACCCCAATTCTGTTATTGAAAATCTATAATTTTATGTTGTATTTTAAATTCAGCCACCTGGTTACTTTGAAGATTTAAGAGCTTCTTATCCCAAATGAGACTTTGTATTCAAATTAATGCCGTTGTATGTATATTTTTAAAGGGAGGTTGTTTCCTACGATGATCCTAGAATTCCACTTTTCAACACAGATTTGGACAACCTAGAAGGAAAACCCCCACCTGTGTTTGCTGCTGGTAAGTAGGGTTACCTCCACTTCTAAATTGTGAGCATTTTAATAACAATTGTTATATTATTGTTGCTATAAATTATGAGGTCAGCTTCCTAAGTGAATAGATATTAGTGACTCAGAGGAGGGTATTCGTTATGTTGAAAGCACAACTCATCTCATCTCACCTGAGCTCCCAAGGGCTAAATGCGGTGGCTTAGATGAGGCTGACCTTGAGTGGGACTACGGCTGGAAATGGGGTTCCTGGAACTAAAATCACCCAGGGGGTAGCAGAACAGAGTGACAGCTGAGCCAGCAGAAAAGGACTGGGGATCTGTGATTGGGAGCACCCAGAGAGGTGGAGAAGGAGGGAGGCAGCTGTTCTGAATGATGCCCAAAGCCCAGTGGGGCTAGAGGGTCGGGGAGAAGAGAAAATACGTATTCAGACTGGCTTCTTCTTTGATAGTGTTCTGGGAAGACTCTTCAATTCCTCTCTACCACCTCCCCCTCCCCCCCCAAAAAAATTCCTTTACATTGCCTTCAAGCTTTCCAGTTATTAATTTATTTTCTTACAGAAATTCTGCTTTTCTGTTTCCTCATGATATGGAAGCCATCTTGGTTCTTGAAGCCTTTGGTAGTTTCCACTAAGTGGCTTATCACCAGTAGCTGGTGATGAACTCTTAGCAGTAAATGAAAAAAAAAAATGGAAAAGACAACATGGCTCTCAGTTCTATTTAGACTGGGTTAGAGAACCTGGCAGTGCATTTGTTCTGTGAAATTTGGATTCAGTCAAAGGGCTGCGCTTGAGGACCTCGAGGGCCATGTGTAGCTTTGAGGCCCCAGGTTCCCCACCCCTGATTTAGACCCTTCTGCCTTGTGCAGTGATGGTGACAGAAGTGTCATAAAGGAAGGAAAAGAATGATATGAATAACACATGGGTTTTTTTAGGCCATTTATAAACATTAATTTAATTGGAGCTTTAAATGTTAGGGGTAGCTAGGTGGCACAGGGAATAGAACATCAGACCTGGAGTCTGGAATACTCATCTTCATGAATTCAAATCTGGCCTCACACACTTAGTAGCTGTGTGACCCTGGACAAGTCACTTAACCCTGTTTGCTTCAGTTTCCTCATCCGCAAAATGAGCTGGAGAAGGAAATGGTAAACCACTCTAGTGTCTTTGCCAAGAAGACCCCAAATGGGGTCACGAAGAGTAGGACATGACTAGAAAGACCGAACAACAACAAAACTCTAAATGTGAGAGCCTTGTCCAGAAACCAACGTATATGTAACTAAAGGAAGTGAACTATCTTAACATAGAGCTTCTTACTGTAAATTAGAGCAGAAGACATAGAGAAGGTAGAGCTGAATGCCAGAATGGTTCACAGGCTCTCTTGGAGAAGCAGTCAGGGACTTTAAGCTAGAGTGGTGGCCATGTGAGTGGACAGGATGAATGCAAGAGATATCAGTTCTGCCTCTACAAGATTACTTGACAAGCGATTGGATTTGGGAGGCGAAGGACAAGGAAGAATCAACCAGACTTCAAGGTTATGAATCTGGATGACCAGGAAAATGATGTGATTCTCATTAGAAATAGGGAAGTTTGGAGGAGAGTCAGATTTGGAGGGCCACGGTGGCATAGAAATAGTGAATTCTGGGTTTGGAGCGTGTTAGATTTGAAAAGTTTATAAGGTATCCAGGACATCATGGTGTAGTGGTGAGAGTGCTGGATTTAAGATAGGAAGATCTGGGTTTAAAATCCTACCCCAGACACTTATTAGTTTTATGACGCTGGCAAATCACCTAACTTCTCTTGGGCTCAGTTCCTAATTTATAAGGTGAAGGAGTTGGCCGAGATTGCCTCTGTGGTCCCTTACAGCTCTGAACCTGTGATCTCATGTCCATTAGGTAGCTGGTGATATGGGACTAATGTTCAAGAGAGAGCATATGGCTGTGTGTGTAGATTTGGGAGCTTTCTGCATAAGGATAATGATTGAACCCGTGGGAGCTCATCCTGTTCCCAGAGGAGATAAGAGAGGGCAGAGTCCAGGGGGACATCCACACTAAGTGGGGTGTTCAATCATCAAAGGAGACTGAGAAGGAGTAGTCAGGTACAGAAGAGAACTAGGAGAGACTTGTCATGAAAGCCAAGGGAGAAATGAGTGATAGACATTCAGAAGTTGTAGAGGACTCACGGGGAATGAGGATTAAGAAAAGGCTATTGAATTTCACAGCTCAATAAAATTTTGAGGTATCTCTTTATTCTAGTCAAATCAGAAAAGGTGATTGATGGACAAATCAGTACTGGAAGAGAACAGGCATATTAATTCGGGCAATTAGCAAGTATTTTTTAAGCTCTTAGGCACTGTGTTGCTTGCCCTTAAGGAGTTTGTATTCCAGGCATGGGGCATGCTGAATAGTACAAAGGCCCAGATATGGGAAATGAGATGTCATGAGTAAGGAACAGGGCCAAGGCTAGTTTGGTTGGATTGCAGAGAAAATGCAAAGATATGTTGGCTGTGTTGTGAAGGGATTTAAACGCTATAATGAGGAGGTTCTATTTGATTCTAGAGTAAAGAAGAAACTATTAGAGTTTATTGAGTAGGGGAAAATAACATGGTCAGATCTTTGCATAAGGAAAATCACATTGGGAGCTGTGTGGAAGATGGATTTGAGCCAGGGAAGCTAAGTAGGAGTCCATTGCAAAAGTCTGGGTGAGAGGTAAAGGTGCCAGCTTGTGAATAAAGGAACAGGATTGGATGTGAGAGATGTGTGGAGGTAGAAATGATGCTGCTTAGCGACTGATTGGCTATGTGGGGTAAAGGGATTGGAGAATAACATCAAGGTTACAAACCTGGGATACTAGAAGATTGGTGGTGCCTTCAAAAGAAATAGGGAAGTTTGGGAGAGGGGTGGGTTCGGAGAGAAAGACACATGGAGTTGCGCTTGGAACACCAGTTGGAAATACCTAATAGGCATTTGATATGAGACTGAAGCTTAGGGGAGAAACCGTGCAGGGTATATAGATATGGATCTCCACTCCTCTCTAATGAAAACTCTGACATTCTTCTCTTTGACCCTAACTTCCCATCATTCCATCTCTTGCCATGTCTCACTCGCTCCAAACCCATTCTTTGCCCTCACTGAGACCTTTGATCCTCCTGTTAGTTCCTTCTCAGGCTTTATCCCTGCTCTGACTTTCCCTCTTTCTCTAATGTTGAATTCATAGTTAGCCACTTCAACTCAACACTGTCCTCTATGCTCAAATCAAATCTGAGAGTTATTGGTGTAGAAGGATAATCGAGCCTGTGGGAGCTGATGAGGTTACTGAGAGAAAGTGTAAAGAAAGAATAGGGTACCTAGAACAGAGCCAGGGGGTTACCCACAGTGAAAGGGTGTGGTCGGGATAATGAACCAGCAAAAGACTGAGAAAGAATGGTTAGGTAGCAGAACCAGGAGAGCATAATATCAGGAAAGCCCAGGAAGAAAGGATGGCCTGCAGTGTCAAATGCAGCAGAGAGGCCTAGAGGGATAAGGACTTTTAAAAAAAAAAAAAGAGCACCAGATTTTAATCATTAAGGGATTACTTAAGGCTTTGGAAGGAGATTTGGTAATTAAGGGATCACTGATGACTTCATTGAGAGCAATTTCAAGAGGGCAGTTTCAAGTGAGCGGTGAGGTCAGAAGCCAAACTGCAAATGATTAAGGAGTGAGCAGTGAGTCTAGGTATCTGGCTGAGAAAGGGAAGAAAGATACAGGACATTGGCTTAGGAGATCGTAGTGACTAATGAAAGATTTTTAAGGATGGGAGAGGCATGTTTGATGGTAGTAGATAAAGAAAAGCTGAAGATTAAAGGGGTGGGGAATTATTGAGGTTGCAGTCCTATGGAGAAAACAGAAGGAGATCAGATCAAGAATGGAAGAATTGACCTTGGCAAGGAGAAGGGCCACCTCATAGTTAGAGATTGTGGGAAAGGAGAGATTAACGGTATGGAAGAAGAGAGAGCTCATGTTGAATGGCTTCAATTTTTTCAAAAAAGTAAGAAGAAAGGTTTTTAGCTGAGAGAGAAGAGAGTAGGGGAAATACAGGAGACTTGAGTGAAGAGAATGTTTGGAAAAGCTTTTGTGGGGAGTGAGATAGGGAATGGGGGGTGGGGAAGAGAAGGATTGTCTTGCTTTATTCAGGGCCCATTTGAAGTCAGACAACATGAATTTATTCCTTTGGCTCCATTCAGTATCCCATGAGTAGGAGCAGAGGAGGCAGATGGTGGGAGTAATCCGGGTGAGTGAGATATAACAAGAGACAGAATTAGGGTCAGAAAAAGGAGTGTCAAAGTTTTTCATTAGAGAGGAGTAGAACACCTATAGGTAATAGTGACATCCAGTATGTGACCATACCCATTTCTAGTTGGGTTGTGGTTACAAGGAGACTGAAGAATTGAGAGCTTATCGGAGTAAGGGAGCATAACATGGATGCTGAAGTCATGTAGTATGAGGGAAAGGAGAGCAGAATGGTGGGTCAGGTGCTGACCTCCCTGACAAAAAACAATGTCTTGAGCTCTAGCTTGGATGGAGAGCTCTGATATTGTGAACTTCAGAGAAGAGAGGGCTGAATGATATGATGATGGTAAAGAGGAAGTCTGAAGTGCCAGTGGGGGCAAAGAAAATGTTCTCACTCTTCCTCCAGGACAAATCCAGGAGGTTGTGGGCAAGGGAACGGGCCAGTGGTTGAAAGAATGGTCCAGCCATTTTGGAAACAGTTTGGGATTGTACAAGAAAAGGTACATCTTTCTTCTTATCCTTTGACTTAGCAATATGAGTACCAGGTTTATAACCAAGTAGATAGACAGGAAGAAAATGTCTTTCTATATAAAAAAAAGTCAATAATAGTACTACTAGTAATAGCAAAAGGTTGGAAACTATGTGTCTAGTAATTAAAAAAAGACTGACTAATTGGTCGTGTATGACTTAAGTTGGCCTAGTGGGTAGAGTCAGAAAGACCTGTGTTCAAATCCTGCCTCAGGTGCTTACTACCTACCCTTGAGATTCCAGGCATGTTACTTACCTTCTCTCAATCTTCTTCAATTTTATGTAAAAAGCTGATAATCATGGGACCTGCCACACAGAGTTATTGTGAGAGTTATGTGAGGTAACACGTGAAGTACTTAGCAAACTTGAAAGCACTCTGTATTATCATTTTAAACCATAAGGAACAATGTAAGAATTCAAAGAAATACAGGAAGGCTTGATTTAAATGATATGAATAGAAAGAAACCAAATCAAAAGACCAACAAATTACATACTTACTTGGTCTGGACCTGATTTCTGCATAGGAACTTCTGGCAGAAACTCCCTTTGCAGATGCCTATCAGCAATTATTGTGCATCTTCAAAGTCCCAGTGGCCTGAGGATAATCAGTTAGGTGACTTGCCCAGGGTCACACAGCCAATATGTGTCAAAGTCGGGACTTATACCCAGGTGTAGCTAACTCTGAGGCCCACCCCTCTGTCTACCACCTGCCTCCCCACACACTCAGTGTGCTTGTTACAGCTTTGTGACTGAAGACCGCATTAAACAGTAATAATGATAACAGCCACATTCAGTAGACGGCATTAGTACTAACGTTACATTTAAAGCATTCTTCCTTTCTTTTAACAAAAAGCAGTTTGAAAAAGTGTAATAAGGCTGTCAATACCCCTGTTGCAGTTATTCTTTGTAGCTTGGGACAAGTCACTTAATGTGTCTGGACGTAATTTTTCATTTATAAAATTTAGGAGTTGAACCCGATAAATTTCACAGAATTACAGCATTTTAAAGTGAGAAAGAACCTCATTGGCCATGCAGTCAAACCTCTCCCTGAACGGATTCCCTGCGGTGGCATCCCAGACAAATGGTCGTCTGGGTTCTGCCTGAAGACCTCCAGTGAGAGGACAACCCCGAGCATCCACTCCACCCACTCACTCCCCTGCCCAGCTCCGAGGAGGCCCGTCCGTCTTTTTGCAGAGCTGCTAGTTATTAGGAAGTTTTTCCTCACGTCAAGCCTAATGGTCTCTGCAGATTCCACCCGTTGCCTCTGATTCTGCTCCCTGGAGCCAAATAAAATAAGTCTAATCCCTCTGATACACAGTAGCCCTTACGGTTTGGGAAGAGAGTTATCATGTCCCCCTGAGTCTTCTCTTCTCTGCGGTAAGCATGTCTGTTTCCTTCAACAAGTCCTCATATGACATGAAATAATGTCCTTCCTCGTCCTCGTTGACCTCTTCTGGGTGTTCTTCAGTTTATCATTGTCCTTAAACTGTACTGCGCAGAGCTGAACATAGTACCCTAGATATGGTCTGACCAGGACGGGGGCAGAAGAACTTGCACCTCTTTTAGAAGCTTTGCTTCACTTAATGGGCCCAGGATTCATTATTATTTTTTTGGCAAGGCAGTCTGGGTTAGGTGACATGCCCACTTACAGCTAGTAAGTGTCAAGTGTCTGAGGCTAGATTTGAACTCGGGTCCTCCTGACTCCAGGGCCAGTTCTTCATCCACTGTGCCACCTAGCTGCCTCACCAGAATTATTTTTTTTTTCTCTTTGGTGCTGACTGGTTGGACTTGGAATTGACAAAAACCCCTAGATCTTTTTCAGACAAACTGCTGTCTACCCATTCTCTCCCAAAACTTGGAAGTTTTTTTGGTTTTTTTTTTTACATTTTTTTTCTTTTTTAGGCAATTGGGGTTAAGTGACTTGCCCAGGGTCACACAGCTAGTAAGTGTCAAGTGTTTGGTCTGAGGTCAGATTTGAACTCAGGTCCTCCTGACTTCAGGGCCGGTGCTCTATCCACTGTGCCACCTAGCTGCCCCAGAAGTTACTTTTTTCTTTTTAACCAAAGAGTAAGACTTTACATTTACACCTCCCCTAAATTTCATCTTACTGGATTTGACCCAGTGCTGTACCCTGTCAATTGTTGGATTCTCACTCTGTCAGCCAGTGTTTTAGCTGTCCTTCTCAGCTTTGTGTCCGCTGCATATTTGATGAAATTGTCATCTATGCCTTTATCCAAATGATTGATAAGAAATGTTATACAGCACAGGGCCAAGCACAGATTCCTGGGGCACTCCACTGGAATCGGCCTGCCGCCATGAATGTTCTGTGAGTCTGGCTGTTTGTTGAGTTCAGAATCCCTGTCTGAGGTCCCTTGCAACTCTAAATCAAGGAGCTTTCCCTCTTACCAACATTCCCTTTTTAGCTTTCTATGTTGGTGGCTTAAGGTTTTTAATTTTAGGTTTCTACTTTACACCTTCTCTGCCTACAATCTGGCTGTGCTGGATACTGAATGTCTCCATTAGAACCCCTGTTTACATAAAACTTTAACATTTACAAGACACTTTCCTCCAGTGACCCTAATGAGATAGCATTGTTATCCTCATTTCATGGATGGGGAGACAGAGGCTCAGGGAAGTTAATTAACTTGACATCAGTCATACATTATCAGAGCCAGGACTTGAATGCAGGTCTTTTCACGCCAAGTCCCTGGCTGTTTGCACTCTCCTAAGCTGCCTCTCAGTGTCATGGTTACCTTCCTTTCACCCTGCCAAGTTTGTGCATCCCCCAAATTTTCTCATGTATCAAAAAAGTGTCTGTGAAATGATCAAGATGTTCGGCTTCTTTTGTTGTCCCATGTAATAGCTTCTCTTCTGCGGTTTTCAACCCCAGTGTCATAATTCTGGCTAGACATCGGTAACTGAAACACTGGACTGAATTAGAGATTTTTTTTCTAGGTTTGAAGGATTTTTTCTCCTATATTAAATGGCAGATCCCTTTCCAAATGAGTGAACCTAAGGTCAGGCTACACACAAAACTTAAGCCTTATATCCAAATGAGATTTCTCAAAGGATATTATTATTTACTGCTGAATGAGGCCTCAGGAGGGCTGGAAATGGAGATAATGCAAATTTCAAAGTCTGAGTTGAGTGAAACTTATTAGAATATATAAGCATGTAACAGTTCGAAAATGGCTTTCCCAGAATTTCCCCTTTTACCTGGAATGAATCCATTTTCTGAAGTGTGCCAGCCAGCTGTATTTGCTTCCCCAGGGGTTCTGAAGCAATGGAGCAGAAGTAAAGTATTATCTGTTACCATCGCTCCTAGATCTATATTTTGGAATCTTTGAGCATCATAATGGTGGAAGACTAGGAACGCAAGTTTTCAGAATTGGATTTGCCAAAGATTGGAACATTTGCTGCTTGTGCTACTAAACCAAAAGATGCAAAAGCATTTTATTTGTGATGGAGTCATTTGGGCCCAGGTGCACACTTATCTAGATGAAGTCATCATTTTGAAAATAGGGGCCTCTTTTCTGGTGGTTTAGAAACACAAAGCAAAAAATAGTGGTGAGTGCCAAGTATATAGAATAATAAGCGATTGATGTGGGCGTGAATATTACTGGGAAGTTCTTTCCCCATCTTTATACTGCTTAGCCATTAGCTCATAGCGGGCCGTCATGGCAAAACAAAGAACAAAGTTGCCATAGTATGTTCATGGACCGAATTTCTGATTTAACTCATGACACTCTTGTCAGAACCTCTAAACCATCCTGTACGTGTAGTCTACAGGTTCATATTCTCTCAAGGCCTTTTATGCAGTACTTCATATATCAGGGCAGCTTGCATCTGTCAGCTGGACCATCAGGCAGTTGTTTGGAACTAACACAAAAGCCAGTGAGAAAGGACTTAAGAGTAGCATAGGACAAATAAATGATACGGGAGGTAGAATTGTATCTGCCCTAGAGAGCAACAAATGTTGATGGGAGGCCAGAAACACAGTTTTCAGAACTGGATTTCCATTTCTTGACATCAAAATTGACTTTCCTAGAACCTTTCCCTTGTGAATTAATTTTTTGTCCTTTTATTATGCCCCAATTAAAAGATCATCCTCACACTTTTGTTTCTATGTATTTCTTGTTCTTCTGGCACTGTAAGGTGCCAAGAAAGTTCAGAGGTTGAATTACCATAGATACTTACCTAAGAGTATACATTTACAGATCTGTCCTCCATGCTTCTGTCTCATGCAGAAGCACTGGAGGGCTGCCCCAGTACAATAAGGCATTCTGATGGTTGGAAGAGTAGGGAATTGCTGCTATTTTTTGTTTGTCTATATGTAGAGATTATATGACCGTCCAGCTCATTTGCAGCTGCATTTATTTTCCTGACTCTTCTCTTCTTTCTTGGTGACAGAAGGCAAATACAGGGCCCTGAAGATGGATTTCTCCCTCCCTCCTTCGACATATGCGACAATGGCCATTCGAGAAGTACTAAAAATGGATACGAGTATCAAGAAGCAGACACAGCTGAATACTACCTGGCTCCGCTGACGCGCTCTCTGAAGATCTGAATATGGGGGGAAATAGCAGCACCTGGGCTCGTTGGTCTTTGTCTTATTAGCACAAACCCCATGTGGGTTCCAATAATTTGTAGCAAAAGACTATTTGTATTTTTTTTCAAGTTTTTATTAGCTTAAATCAATAATTTGCAATGTTTGTACAAATGTTCAAATTTTGGAGATCCTAACTAAAGTTGAAAACAAGAAATTGGTTGGTTTATTTTGTGTGTGTCTTCACACATACACACAGAGGATGCACAGAGGTGAGAGAGGAATAATCGGTAAATCCACAAACATTTATCAAGTGCTTCCTCTGTACCAGGCATTGTGCCTAAGCCCTTGGAATACAAAGAAAGTTAAAAATGAGAAGTCCCGTACCTCAGGGAGTTTATATGGTAATAAGGGAGACAACAAGTCAATAAGTAGTTAACTCTAAGGATACATACAGAGAAGAAGGAAGACTTAGAATGGGCAGACTTAAGTGACTGGCCTCCTGAATCTTGAAAGAAGCTAGGAAAAAATCACTGTTATGAGAGGAATAGTGAGTAGAATGCTAGACTCGGAGTCAAGGAGAATTTTGTTTTTGTTTCAAAGCTCTTCATGACCAGGTGCTGTCCCTACCTTTCAAGTCTCCTTCCATCCACCCATGTCCGCCCTCCACCCTGCAAGTACTCTGAGGTCCCGCGACACTGGCCTTGCTATTCCTCGCACAAGATCCTCCTCCTCCTGACTCAGGGTGTTTTCACCGACTGTCCCCCATGCTAGGAATGCTTTCCGTCCTTGGTCATTCTCATCCACTTCTTGGCTTCTTTCAAGTCTCAGCTAAAAATCCCATCTTGTACAGGAAGCCTTTTTTGATCACCTTAATTCTAGTGCCTTCTTTCTGTTAATTGTCTCCAATTTGCTCTATATATACCTTGTTTGTAGATAGTTATTTGTATGTTGTCTTCCCTGTTAGACTATGAGCTCCTTGAGAACAGAGATTTGTCTTTTTTGTATCCTTAGCAGTGGGTAGCACATAGTAGGCACTTAATGTTTATTGACTGACTGACTAGAGACATGGTTTCTGGCCCCACCTCTGATGTGTCCTGGCTGTGTCACCCAGAGCAAGCTCCATAACTTCTCAGTGCCCTCCAACAACTCTCTGCAGACACCATCATTTTAGAACAGTTCCTGTTGGTAGAAGAGGTTTCCTTACAGAGAGGTCCATGCTTAGATGAAGTTACTGGTCTGGATGGAACAGAAAGGTAAAATAGCAGTTATATTTGCTTTCAATAAGAAAAATGGTCTTGGATCAAGGTAGAGATTTTAGGGGTTTTAATATTTCCTTAAAGAAACAGCAAGGATTTTTACTACCCATAGGAGTTGAAAACAACATTGTAAGTACCAGAAGCAAGAAAGTTAAGAACTATTTAGACTGTTAGGAATGACAACTAACACAGGTGGGATACATGAAGAATGAGTCTGAGGTCCCTCTTCTCCTGTAATTCAAGAGCCTTTATCCATAAATATAAATTCATTTGTACATAAGTCACAATGAATGACCCTTGGGTGATCTTAAGTACAGCAGTGATTCCATTATCTAGAATCACCTATTTGTCAAAAGTCAAGTGAGATTCAGAACGCAAGTAAAACATTTTCAGCATAAAAGGCTTTTGAATCACTTGATATTTGTACAAAAGCTTCTGTATCAATATGCTAGAAAATTCTACTGTGACAGGGCTTTTTAACTTGATATAAATGGATAGCTGTTTTTGATCAGTTTAAGGTATAATTTTTATTACAGGCATTTTTATGTTGAAGATTCTTTCCATAGAGACAGGTACTTTTAGAAAGATAAAGGGAGGAAAAGGTAACTAGAAATACCAAGAGTTCATACCAGTAGTTGTATTTTTTGTTACCAGCGATTTTGGTGTTGCCATTGCTGGCAATGGAAAACAACATGTTTTCTGACATGAAAAACACAAAGGAATAAATTAGCTGCGCTAACATCATGTTGTATATATGTTCCAGGTTGATTTTTCTATCATTTCTAAAATTAAACGAATGGGTCAATACCTGCTTCTTTTTTGCTATTGTTAATGAGCCGTGTATTTAACTGAAATGGAGTGCGAATGAAAAGTTTGTGTCATGTGTAGTGGCAGGGAGATGGGCTCTATGATTTTATGTTTGTTGAAGTAAATTAAATATCCCTTTTGACCCCCCCCCCAATAGTAAGCACATGATGAGAAGTCAGTGAAGCAAAAATACCTCAGGTTGAACCATCTTTGTTGCCTTTTTGGAAAATCTGTTGTCTTGAAGAGTTTAGACTGCACTTAGCAGTGATATCAGGTTTTCTTTCCTTATTTGGACTTACTAATCAAGTATTTAACTATAGTAAAAGCCTATACTTTTCTAGCTTAATGATAATAATAAAAGATAACGTTTATATAGCACCTACTATGTGCTAGGCACTGTATGCTTTGCAGTTATCTCATTTGTTCTGGGGAGGTAGATACTGCTATTATCCTCATTTTACAAATGAGGAAACTGAGACGAACAGAGGTTAAGTGACTTGCCCAGGGTTGCACAGCTTGGAAGTATCTGAGGTCACATTTGAACTCAAGTCTTCCTGATTCCAGGCTGAATTCCATCCACTGTGCCATCTAGCTGTCCATATGCCCCACATATCAGACATTATAAAGTATTTTGCTCAAAACCATCCTACAGCAGACCTAGTACAGGTATTTATTCCCATTTTACAGATGGAGAACTAAAGATCAGAAGAATTATGCAACAACCATGGTCACATAGCTAATAAGTGGCAACGTCAGGCTTCATTCCCTAGCTGGCTCACCTTCTGAATCTGGGACTGTTGCTCATTACACTGTATTTTTACTTTGGGGTTCTCTTAGTTGTATCCAGCTAAAAGAACTTAAATATTTTATCTACAGTAAAATATATCAGTACTCATGCAAATCTAAATTTGTAGGGAAAGAAATTGAGAATCTAAGGCAGTCTTAACATTTTTCTATTTTGTGAGTATAAAAACATATGTGTGTATATAGACATATGTATCTGTGTGCATATTTACATATATATACATATTTACATACATTTAAATGTGTATACACACAGTAGAATCCGTACCACCATAAAATGAGAACATACATTAACTTGGTTCTACTTGGGGACCAAGTAGTGTATGACATTTTATGGTGGTATGAAATAATGAATAGCTTATTCCACTCTTAAGAGTGGCTGATACATGATGATTCAGGTCATGTCCTAAATGCTATCATAAGACTCAGGGAAAGCTATTAACCCTGGAAACTTGGAACAAATCACAGAAGACAGTACAAAGAGAAGATGAGATAAATCAACAAAGCCCATAGATAAGTATAATTTTTGTGTGGTTCTCTATCTTCCTTTCTAAGATAAAGGAAAATCTACATTGACCAAGTAGGTTTTCTGCTGACTGGTCGAGGACAACTGAAACACTGTTAAACCCCGATCCATGGAGCTAGTCAACCTCATTGGATGCGTTCATACCTATGTTTTTGAGAGGTTTTTGGCCTGGACCTGTGGTTTCATCTGAGGAACTTCCCACGTGCTAACTCCCTCCTTGTCAGGAGCTTACATCCTAAGAAAGTCGCCAGAGTCACAAAGAAGTTAAGCGACTTGCCCATGGTCACCCAGGCAGTATGCCTCAGAGGTAGGACTTGACCTCAGGTCATTCTGACTCCAAAGATAGCCTTTTTAATCCACATGCTGCTGCCTCTGAGTATGGTGTACATTAGTCTATATCTGGAACTCACATGGGTGATTCAGGATACAAATTGGAAGTTCTTTCTGGTGACTATTAAGTTATCTTTTTTCCAGCTACCATACTCCTAAAGGAGACTTTATTTCATGAGTCATAAAGTCTTTTTTTTTTTTTGAGTGATTTGTGTTGTTTGTCCTGCCTTCCTTGTTTCCTGTCTTCCTTTTGTCTTCTTCACTTTGTTCCGTCTGAGTAGGCAAACAAATATTCAAGCTCATGGGTTAGGCAACCTGGAGAAGAGGTTAAAGCTTAACAGCTAATCTTTATGAAATCATGTGTAAACTAGCTTTTAGAAAGTCCACAATGCAGCAGTCCAGAGTGAGAACCCCAACCAGGGCGTGATTTCCATGGCAAGCCAGGCTTGTTGTGAAGTGTAGGAATGTCAGCAGTTGAGAACAGGAGTTGAATAGGGTGGAGATCATTACAGAGCAGTAATGACTGGGAAAGGCAAAAGGCATTTAGTTCACGTGGGGCTGCTTTCTTTCTTTCCTTGGAACAAGTCCAGCTCCAACCAGTTAGCCTTGCTTTCACACAAATGGTGACTGTGTGGAGAACAATACCCCCACTTTCTTCTCAGACTGACACCCACCCACCCACCCCTGTTCTTTCTAGGCCAGGCTAATCAGTTTTCTACATTCTTTACTTACTATTCACAAAGACCATTTTCAACATGTAAAATCTTCCCCCTACCCCATTCAGACCTGGACACATGAGCCATCTAATTTTCACTACAGTAAAGTTTTTGTTTAAGTGACATTGTTCACCTTGTTTAATCAACTCACCTGCTATATTAACTTTATGAATAATGAATGAATTTACTGTGTGGTGGTAGTTTTTTTTTTTTTTGGTAGTTCAAAGGAAAAGCATTTACTGAGATGACTTAAGAATAATAGTAATAATGCCTAGAGTTCACTTTCCCACACATTGTCAGTGGGAAGAATGGGTACAAACAGAGAGTACCCAGGTTTTGAGGCAACGTGGGACAAGACAACTCACATCTCCATCACTGGAGGGCCCCCATGTTCTGTCTTCATCAGCTGATGTTCTCCAGGGTGTTTTGGCCAAGGTGCAGCATCTGTCCTAGGTAGATTCCTTACCTTACCTAGGCTTGGTCTTCTCTGCAACTTGACTCGTCCCAACTGCCAGGGTTAATTCTCTCTTGAACCCATAGCTCATTCTCTCCTCTGCTGCCGGAGGTCATACTCAAAGCCTTGACATTGCCTCTACTGACAAGCTTGTAATTTTTTTTTTCACTGTGTATTTTTCCAATGTTATTGTGATAAAATATTACCAGAGGATTGGTTACTAGATGCTACTTTATTTTCATGTCCGTAGAAACTCATAAAGATTGTCTACCAAGGCGTGGACAAGCGATGGTCTACACTGATGAAGGGAGCACTCTCACCAATTAAATAACATATTCTCTAAATACAAAGTATTGTGATATTTAATGGTATTTTTCCAGTCCTATGCTATATGGT